GAACTCCATGCAGATGAATAATCCATCGATACCTGCGTATGTAGACTCCAACTAACGCAACTTTGTACTCTCGATCTCTCTCATACATACTCAGCCAAACATAATTGAAATTCCTCTCTCGCCAAATAGTATATGGACTGGAGACACTTTGATAACAATAGTGAGAGTCTCGAATTTGATGAGTCATTTGTTTGCCAAAAATTTCTAATATTTAGTACAAAATTAATATAAAGGAGCTACTCTATACAAATATTCACTTTTTCAAATACTATTGGTGTAATTGATTAGTTCGCATTAAAGTGGGTTTGTTCCCTTTTCCAACGTGGAAACATATTATAGTCCATCGCCCCTCTTCTCGAAGTATATATTTTATGTTGATGCAAGAACAAATTGTTGTTTTCATTTTCATTTAATTGTTCTACATTTCATAAACATAAAAGAGCATAAATAATTGACTTATGAAATACAATGCATTTAAAAGAGAAACCCACCCAATTCAAAAAGTTTGGAAGAAACCATACAAAAGCCTGTAGCATAATGCTACCACAATCATCTCACACTATCCCAACATTTTCTATAAGACTGTATTCATCGACACCCTATATTCATGTCTACAATACATAACTCTCGATGAACCGCACAATCTAGGCACAAACCACAGTCTCGTTAGTACTGGGCATTTGTAGCAATGTTAAACTCAAGCTTTCTAGATTCGTATCTCCGTCCTTGATACATCAAAGGCTATCTCCTCAGCATTCAATGAGATAGATGCATTGGTGGAAGCGCAATCGAGAGATCCCACAACTCGACGCCCGCTTAAGACTGTGTGATCCCGCAATCACCACTATTAAACGCATAGCTAATCCTAGCGTAGCCAATACTTGATCCCGTACTTGTCCTTTACGAATAGCTTGGCATATCTCATGCATACGACACCAACGAGCTCTGACTATCGCCCTAGTCAAGTGTAAAACATCTCGTAATCCGAATGCTACGTGCAATCTGCTCAATCTACGTGACCTATCAGTTCTTCATGTTTAACGGGCTTCTTTCTACGCCTCGACCATATAACAAAGTTCATTGATAACAGCAGGTTCTGCTCGCCGAAATTATAACCAGTTAGAAAAAGAAAGTTTTTATCATTTATCATTATTAATATTATAAATTACCAAAATTGTTATCCCTGCCGTCAATTCTTTACAAATTTCTGGCGACACCCACAACAGTTCATGTATCGAGATGATTTCAGAGAGAACTATCTCACGACTGTATATTGACCTTCCAACTTCCCCTTCTCACAAGCATACTCTCACATGACGTCTACTGCGCATTCAAACACGTCCTACACACATCGGCAGTGGCTATATACAGAACTCGAGTTACAACTCTAGGCAGCTTATCACTGTCTGAGAGATATTCTCAGTGATACACCACTCTCACTCCAATATACAAAGTAGTAACATGAATCATCTACGTGTCGCATCGACGCATCGTATCAATTAGATACCGGCAACTATACTCCTCGACGCTCGCGTGCATATTAGCTGATTACGCTATACGAGCCAATCCTCTGCTTCCTGCATTACAACCTCGTAGTGCGATCACAGTCTCTTTCGTTTCAAGTCTCAGAACTCAGTCGGAGTGCACGCCTCGTGACACTCTCTCCAGCGTATACAGCATATTTTGGTCCCACGAAGGATGAACAACGGATAAAAAAATGCACGCGTTTAGAAACACAACTCGTGAGTATCACTGTATTTCTATGTTATCACCTCTGACGTTGAGCTATATCCTCGAACTCTCGTAAACAATTTAAAAATAAAGCTCAGTATTACACGATCTCATCATGGAGCCTCTAAATCAGTCTCTCGAGGCTTTATAGAGCCTTGAGCCGTGGGTACGATACACCATATAATCGGGCTGCTCTATATTGTTTAAATTCATTAGTTATGACACCCGACCAGACCTATACGTTAGCTGATCCATGCAAGGTAGACGTCAGATAGGCTACAATATATTCCGGACACCGTCCACACGAGTATTACTGATATATAGAGCGACTCTATGTCGACGAGACGCCGTGGTAGCTGCGGCAAGCGGTGCACCGCATTTCAGCCATGATAAGTCCTATCCGAGTGTGTGGATACACGGACATATAATTAGCAGTCAACACGTCCCTACTATATACAACACGAATACTAGTAATGAACAATACAGTGCTGTGCTCGTCATACGTCATCACTGTCATCACAGTGTCACACTAACCTGGTATCGAGAGACGTCGCGTGGTGATTCATCAGCATCTCACATACTAATGAGATCTGAAGATCTGCTCACTCAACACTCCGTCACATCACATTGCTTTTCAACCAAATGAGACCAATGGCTACCGTACCTACAGTGATCGCGTTAGCGCACTCGACCTACACAAATATAGTTTGAACTTTGCGCCGGTGCAATTGTGAGGTCACACATTACCGGATCACTGAACGCCAGGGATTCTGTCATATACAAGCTTGGAAAGATCTTGTGCTTCAACTGATTATTTCTATAAAGATTACATGTGTTGTCTATGCATCTCTACGATAACACTATTCTCGTCATGGTATCTTACAAAAATGTGAACACATTTAAGGTTCAACGGAGGCTTACCCCGATTTCACGCAACCGATCATACATGAATTGTAAGATCTCTTCCCAAGTCTTGAAAAATCCTTGCTTGGCCTGAAAGAACAACGTGCAGCCAATTATCACAATGATGCAACTAGAAAAGAAAAAACAACGAACTTTATAGCGAAAACGGAAGTTTTTTAAAACTGCATGAGCGCCACCCTTGAAGGTACATCGCAGTTTTGGTACCAACAATCATTTTGTGGAAACGTTTGAAGAAGCGAAGACAAGATTGCTGTCATTTTAAATAACTTTAATACGTTCATAATGAAAGTATGAGACCATTCACTTTTTCATTGTGTATATATAATGTTTTGAATGGTCGATATGCTCTTCTTGAATTTCCTATCCTATAAAAAAATTCCAGCATTCTTTTATCTGCCAATCCAAAACCAAACTGGATATTATACCACAGCAGCGGGAAATTGTACGAGTACCTTTAGCAAAGACTATTCGCTCAAGTTCCGCCAGTCGTAACTATAGCTGCATGCCTGTGTAGAAACTTTTGACCAATGGCTACACAAGATGGAAAGAAGAGGCGTGTTGCAGAAAGTTGGCCGACTTCGATACAGCAGAGCGTTTTTGATTAGAAACAACATGGTATGCACTTCTGTTAAATGACAGAACTTGCTCCTCGCCCAATCTCATACACAGCTGTATGCATTCATAGGGCCAAATACCAGGATCCATTGCAGAGTTCATTCCCACGTTGGCGGATTTATATTTGCCCACTGATAATATTGTCCTATGTGGTTGCAACCACAAGAACAGATCGGTAAACACACTCATCTATCTGAGTGTGTTATTGTAATCGTTTGATGAGCCTTATGTAGAGTAATCAGGATCTTTCTCTTATCTGACATTGAAACTTGTATCACCGCTTTATTAATGCTCGTATTTTGTAACGGTACTGACATAAGCTCATGTCGAAGGCCATGAAGGGAAACTTACATCTGCAGGATTCTGCTCTTCCAGTTCATTTGCCACTAGAACAGACATGATGCTCGACTTATACCCAGACGTGTGTAATCCAAAATATCGAAAGGCATCAAGCAATTATAACGCAAATCCAGTATTGTACCACTTATAATACTTTTGGATAATCGCTATCTGGGTTACTGGATGTAGGCTGAGGAGAAAATAAAGTTGAATCTCTTGAAAGGAACTTGCGGTGGTTGAAATGAGCTTTGGATAATAACCATTCACTTAGAGTTTCCAAAATATATTGAAAAAGGATGTTCCAGCAAACATGCTTTCTAACATAAAGAAATTGGCTAGAGAAGATATGTTGCTGATTGTCTTTCAATTTAAATCTTTGATAGACATTCACAAGTTATTTAAAAGATAAAGCGTGAAATTGTCCTCTATTTGTTATCCAAAAGATCTTAATTTATGTTACTTAGAAAGAGAAAATGAGTATAGGAAATGTGATCAAAAGAAACAGAGACACGTACTTGCTTTGTAAACTCTCTTAAGTGGAAGGACTAGCACCGATCTGTAGAGTGTCTCAGAGAGAACTAACAGCCTTTTTGTGGGCCTGTTCACGTTCAGTTTCTGCATTTTAGTTAGGACATTGCCAGCAATCTGTCATTAAAGCTTAAACTTGTAGAAGACAACTCAAAATAATAAAAAAATATATGTGAGAAGACAGGTGATCATAGGATGAAGTAACAAAATGGTACTGCTAGTTATATGAGATAATCTATATGGAAAGGTGAATAACTTTGATAGTCTGGTGTGTGGCGTGAGGTCCTAAATCGTAACGGTTAATAGTTGGATATTACATGAAAGGAAACGAAAAATTGATTTAACGTTAATGGAGAGAACAACAGACTTTCGAGTCAACTTCGCATGAGTGTTTTGAGGAAGATGGCTTCGAATACTTTAGTCACAAGGTATTCATTTCGGTGAACGGGACCAAATGAATTATCTCGTATATGAATCGATATTGTTATCATAACATCCCCACCCCACAATGATCCGTCGCTTAAATCGCTTGGGTAAAATGTACAGCTACGCTGACAACTGTTTTTATGGCAATGTCGTGCTTTTTTGTTTTATTACCAACCTTTCATTATCATTGATGTGCAGCTCAAGAACAGTTCCCTTTAAAAGAGTAAACTTTTGCATGCTCACTTAATCTGCCTCGTCGTTGCTGTATGTGTCTGATATCTTCCTCAGTATCTAAGCCAGTAACCAAACACTTAGCAAGACACCTGAGAGCACGAGTAATATTTAATTACAGACTGAATGAATAAAAAGCGTGTATTATTCTGAGAATATGAAAAGCATTTCATCTCCTCATTAGACCGTAGAGGAACAATGCAGGTGACAAGTTGCAACCAACGTCGTCAAAGTCAACCCCTATACCTTCTGTTTCGAAATAGCATTCAAAATTGACAGGAAAGCTCCATATGAAGTATATTGTGGTGAATACAGAGACCGTACTGCCTAAACCGGCGACTAGAAGGACCAATGTCTTAACTTTGTAGGTAGTCAAGAGATAGCTTTGTTCTGTCATCAGATACAGTAGTTTGTTATGCAGGATATCGATTTTGTCTTTGTTATGCGAATCAAATGTGAGCTCAGAAGCCATCTGAAACGTGTTCGGGTTTCTGTAGTATTTTGGTTTTACAGTGCACATCTCTTTGAAGATTGAGTAAAACGCGTCGAATTTCGAAAAGATAGCTGGATGCCTGAGCCAAGCGCTATGAATGCAACTCAGCAAGGCCCATTCGACAAACAAAGCATACGGGTAATGGACCAGGAATTTGCCAGTGAAAGAATACGCACACTTCGAATTGAGATATTTGATCTAGAAAGAACAAATTCGTAGCTTAAAACTGTTGCAAAGCCGCTTTATGTAGATGAGTCAATAATGTCATGCCTGATTTGTATGTTCGCTGTTTCGTTTAGCTTCAAGGTCGCTGACATAGAACAATAAACGGAGTTCTTGGCTCGTTTTGGTTTATTGTAAAGGTAATATGATACCACGATTCCTGATTCGTATCGTATTATCGTTATGCCTTGTTTGTACCATATTATCACAGCGTGTAGTTTGCATCGCATTATCGTTATAGCAACTTGTATCGTAGTATCGTAATATCGGGTTGGTATCTTAATATCGTAATATCGGGTTGGTATCTTAATATCGTAATGTCTAGTTGGTATCTTAATATCGTAATGTCTAGTTGGTATCCTAATATCGTAATGTCTAGTTGGTATCCTAATATCGTAATGTCTACTGGTATTTTAATATCGTAATGTCTAGTTGGTATCTTTATATCGTAATGTTTACTTGGTATCGTAACATTGCAACGCCTGGTGCCACTCACTGCAACAACCTATGCATCTATTTATAGAGTTCTGCCACATCCCTTGCTATTTAGAACTTAAAAAGTTTTTAAATGGAAGAAAGCATTTGCCTTGTCCACAATGCTTCCTTTCGATATTATTCCAAACATGCATAGTCATAACTCACCACTGAGAAAATAGATGTCCTAGTGTAAAAAGTGCATGATTTTTTTGTCAGGTCAAAAATCGAGGAAGGTGTGCCAAGAATGATATCAAATGTCCGTTTCAATGCGCACTTGCTACCATTTCGACCTGTCATTTTTATTTATTGTTGATAACTGGCTAATCAGATTCAACTCGAACAAAATTGTGTCCAAAATGCTAAATTTATCAACAATGGATCTTGTAACAAAATCTTAGGCAGTTGAACCGCTTCTAAAAAATATTTCATTTTAACTTTCAGTTTCCTTTGCAGGGGCCTGCTTGTTTCGAAACTTTATCTAGGCAGAGCAAAATCTAAAATGAGAATAAACTGGCTTACAGTCTCATGTATTCACTGAGGTTGAATTAAAGACAATGACAAAAGATTGTGAAGTACCTGCGGCCAGGAGTATGTTTTTTCTTTCCCCAAACAGATAATGCCTTCGCCTTCAACCAAAGTAACATTGGCAAATGCAATCAGTGTGAAGAGAAACATCCCCATGTTCAAATATTCAATGATCAGGTCCCACCATGGCTTAAAGAAATGTATTGAAGCCGAATCGCCACTCGTGTACAGCTCTGAAAGATCGAACATCCTGTCCAGAAGAATTAAATATCTTTTAGGCCCATAGTCTGTTAATCTAGGCTGAGGTGATCTGCCTCGATTGCGAATTAATATGTTCAGAAAACTTTTAGACTGATACTTTGTATTTTTGACAAACTTGCGGAAGGCATAGCATTTAATAAACATAACATACATGAGAATATACAGAAATCGTCCACGGCAACCCACGTGCTTCATTAAATATTCAAAGCTGAAATCAATGCAGGGCCTCCGACGCAAGCTTAAAAAGCAAGGGCGAGCGATAATTACAAACTAGCAAAATATACTTTGCACCTAAGTATCTGTATTTCACAAAAGGTGGGGACGTGATGACTTGCTGCCTACGTGGAGTGTTGTCATAAGCTCAGGAACATTTAGCCCATAGCAGCTGAAACTCATCTGCATTTTCGTGTGCTTATTCCAATCACAAAAAAGAGCGTGTTTATAATCAAGCAAACGTTTGGATCTCCCTGAATTATCTAGTACTTGTCAATTTCTCAATGCTTTAGAAGCTTCACATATGACAGAAAAGCCGAAGAGCATGCAGAAAATATGATCCAATCTTTGTTCGTTTTAGGGGTTGCCCAATCGAGAGAGGCACCGATTTAGATAGGGTACTCTTGACAATATATTCAGACAGCATGTTACTTTTAGACAGCATGTCTACTCTTTGTTCAGTCGACATTGCCGCATTTCTAATTCATATCACAGCATGCTCTCGGTATTTAGAAGCAGTGCATTAACTTTCCCTCTTAGAACCTTTCGCTCATTTCAGGAAAGGGGTTAATAGATATAAATTGATTTGAATTGACGCCCTTCTAAAGGGGGGGGGCACTCGTTGGTGTTTTGTGCCCATTTGAGGATTTACTGTTTAATAGACATGTCAGTAAAAGTCAAAAGCCTCGCAAATATTATAACAAGTTCTATTTTCAGTGATCAATCAAGCTTTACGTTCTTCCCAATAAGAAAAAGGACCATGAATTTCAAAGCTATGTATTACGGAAGAGGGACAAAGCTGAAGAAAATTGTTGGAAGGAAGGAGAGTGATCAGATCCTCAGATTTGACGACCAAAATAGCGTTTCAAAGGGAAGTGGCGTTTCGAAGGTATGATTGTTGGCAACAATGGCCAAACTGCTCTCAGTGTAAGCTTGAGACATTCGAGAACACAAAAAACCGGGGAAATTGATGGTCGGTAATCGCGAATCGGGCTAAGAACGTAGCAGGAATTGCAGAATTTGGAGACCAATTGGGTACTTTCCTCTAACCTCAACCATCTCCCAGCTCCGTCATATCCAGTGCCGTCGTCAATCCAAAAAAATGGGGTGGACGAAAACAAATTTGTTTAATTTTTAATCTATTTTGTAATTTAGCAAAGTAATTTACCTGTTCTCTATCTTTTGGCAAGCAACTTTCTCAAGCAGCTTTTTCGTAACGGTGGCTCTTTTGCAAGTGCGAAAATCAAAATTGATCTGATCAGCAGACTTACCAACCCCCCAACCCCCCCTCCCCTCCCAAAAGGTTTTTCAACAGATTTCAAGAAACTAGAAATTGGACTTCTGGGAAAACTGGGAAAACATCACATGTCCACCCCAGTACACCCCGTGGCGACGCCACTGGTCATATCTAAGCTCCGCCATCTCTCATCCGCACCACATCTATGCTCTGGTGAAAACGCTAAAAACATAAAACTTCACCGTTGTTTATGGTTACAAAGTTGATCTTTGGGAAGAGAAAACTGCCATGATAGGAGTAATAGCTTACGATATACGGGAATGTTTCAGTAACATTAATGGCAACTAATGAAAAAAGTTATATTTGCAGCAAAGGGTCTGCATTAGAGACTTTGTTGTAAAATTCCACTTCAACATCACCGGGAAATTGCACATACAGTCTATATTTGTAGAATAGAACTTGGAAAATTCTCTACACTTGCCCCACTACTTCAAAAGCTCACTTTTTGACCAGGGGTTGATAACATTCATTAAAAAAAAAGAATGGTGTATTTCATCTTTATTGGAAATCCATAACATAAAGCAAATTTAAGGAAAAAATACTAATAATCATACCTTTAATGACTTGAAAATACTTTGTTACTTTTCAGTTGGCGTCAGCGCCATCAGCCGTCAGCTTTCCCGCCATCTGTTTAGCCTCTACATGACAATGAGATTTGTTTTTCCTCTACAGAAATGGCGATGAAACTCAAGAGAAAGAAGAAGGCATTTAGTATGGGGAAAACTGTTGTTATTTTCAAGGCATGTGGTTAAAAATATAAGCCTGAACAGAAAAATTATATTTTTTTATTTAATCAGTAGTTATCGGTTATAATATCTGCGCCTTTCTCTTTCATTTTCGCGATTTGATTTAAGTTTTATTTTGGTCAATATTCTCGGGTAAAAAACGAAATATCTGCTTTCAACATTGGCAAAGCATGCGGTATCTTGATAAATTGTTGATTGATTGTGATTTTTAATGTCATGTTAATAAAACAGTCTTTCCACATGGACTTTCCAATTTTGGAAATTTGAAAACGCGGCACTCCCTAGAGTGAAGTGAAAAGCCAGTGGAATCCGACCTGAAATGTAGAAATAGTAATTAAACTTAATGACTAAACACAGTTGGATGGCTAACAAGCTTTATACTGCATTCAATGAGTTTTATGTGCTGTGAACTATACACTCTACCCAAATCAAATTCTTGTCCAAGATAAGGAAGGATATTTGCGATAGTTTGCTGATAAGTGTAATGAATGAAATTCCAGTTGGAGGGAAAACGAGTTGTATTTGTATTTGTTGCTACCTAGCATCCGAAGGTAGTTTTTAGGACACTGAGAAGCTATGCTTATCGAGCAGTGTCCTGGTCCTTCCTCTCGATGTGACCACACCTTGTGATTCCTTCGCCTGGAATTACAGAGAGCTGGCGACTCTCCCCACTCTGGGTGAAAGTTTGTCCTTTACTACAATATAAAGCTCTGTACTGGATATCTACTGGATCTCTTCTCGATCTTCTAGAATTATGTTTGTTTTTAATCTTTCATAGCATGCAAGTCATAGATTACTCATTTTAGCATGACACCAAGAAAGGTTTAATGAACCAACATGGAGGGCAAGTTCAACAAAGAAATCCAGCATAACATATATGGTGTCACCTTGGGCTCGGAGCCTTAATTTTTGTATTTGTATTTGTTTCTATCTAGCATCCAAAGGTAGTTTTTAGGATACTGAGAAACTTTTGATGTGACCACACCTCCTTTTTCCTATGCCTGGAATTACAGAGAGCTGGCAAGTCTCCTCACACTGAGTGAAAGTTTGGTCATACCAGGGACTTGAACTATGTAACCTTGGTTCTGTAGTCAGCACCTCTAACAACTGAGCCATCCTCGCATTTAATACTTGGTATGGTTAGCTGCCTACCCCCGTGGCTCATGGAACATGCTAAGTATATGTTTGTATGCTTGTTGGCATCAATTTCTATGTATGTAAAGGAGTTGCTTAGTTATTATTCAGTGGTCATCTTGGTATATTGCTTAGCTAAGTATTAGTGCTGGGTGTTTTTTGAAGGTGTTTGTAAGTTGTAATTTTAATTTGTTCTCCATAGGATTGTTGATGTTTGAACTAATCAAATATGGAAGAAGAGAATTTAAATGAAGTTAGGCCAGTGCTTCATATTTTTGTCATTGGGTTTCATCATCAACTTGGTGCTCAGGTGAATTATTGTTTTTGAACTATTTTTAACAGAATTGTCTGCAGCCATGTTTCAATCTTGGTTGATGTAATTGGTAACAACCAATGACTTTCTTATGTAAGTAGTCAAGGTTGTTTAGAGACAGGGTAGCTAACAGGGTATTGAAAAAGAAAATTCAACAGTTATATTTTGAAACTAAAACACTATGTGAGACTGCTGCAATATTTCTTGTCCATTTTTTTTATTGTTTTGCAAAAAAATTGTAGTTATTTTTGATTTTTTTATGCAGTACATTTTTGATTATCATTGATTTCAGTTTCATAGTTCCATTGTTCGGATAACATTTAGCCTCACCAAATACTACATTAAATTATACTGAGATATGTGTTAGCGTCATAAGTTGATGGTCAATAGTCTTATATTTTTTCACTAAAGAAATTATTGAATGGTTTAAAAAACACCAAATATTTGCTTTCTTTCTTCATATTCAGGTGGAGTTTGTTTATCCCGAGTTTCAAGAGAGTAATCTTCCAAAAGGACTACCTGTTCCTTGGCATCCTCTTCTTCACATTTCCTTACCAGATGGGGCTCATAACTTTGAAAATGGTAAGAAAAGTGCTGCTTAGATTTGTTAAGTTGGCATAAGGATAATGTTTAATGAACATGAGGCAAGGGAGATGATGAACATGAGGGGTAATGTTTGATTTGGTGATTAAGATAAAACCAAACACTCTTTCCATTTTCTCAGGAATGTGGAAACTGAAAGGCACTGGGTGCATGTGTCCTCTACAATTCTTCAGAAAGTATTTTGAACTTCCCCTTTAAGGGTTTCCTTTCATTTTTGAAAAATTGTCATTTTCTAATAAACTGCTGTATACTTCTTTATAAAATGTGAATTTGGCTCTAAATGCATGTTGTCAAGATACCCTTTTGAGGAAACATTTAAACAGTAATGCCCTTGGCTTTAAAATATATATTCATGCCTGTACATATTCATTAATAAAATGGGGGGGGGGAGGGTCATGGCTCCATCACTATTTTGCAGAATAAAAGAACTTTTCAAAATTTTTTGTTATGGGTGTTAAATTTTCCTTAGCTCTCCACCACTTTCCAACCGGTATCGAAGCCATGCTAGAAAGCGCTCCAGTTTTCAAAATGTTGGAAACCGACCCTTTTTGAAAACTAGTTCATAAAGTTATGAAGTTTGTTTTTTTATTAAATTAATACTGACTTTCTGGCCATTAAGGGCGAGTAATGCTAGGGAAGGTTCGAGAAGACATTTATTTTTCAAAAAATCGCTTTGAAAATTGCTATGTGGCACACCCTGTGAAGTAAAATACAGGAAATATAAATAGGAAAACAACAAAATTAATGGTTCTGACTTATCAAATAGTTATGACTGATTAGCTGTTGGTTATTTTCAACAAATTACAATAAATTTATAGATTGCAGATTTTGACCTCAACCCTGCCACTCCCATTTTACCACACCCTTATTTGCCGAATAACGGAATATTCATTAAATTTTAAACCAAATAACCAAATAGTAATATCTGAAGGTTTGGACAGCCCTAGCTTCGATGCAGGTTGGAATATGGGATGGCCAAGAAAGATTTTAACGATCATAACAAAAAAATTTTAAAAAGCTCTATTGTCTTGCAAATAAATGGGGGGCATGGCCCACTGCCCCCCTCTTCAGAGGCATTGAAAACTAGGGGTATTACATCTGTGAGGTACTGCATTGTAATATCATATTCAGTTTGGCAAAATGCTGATAAAACTAAATTACTTATTCATTGATATTTGCTAATTATTTTGCTGCCTGTCAGGGTTTGATAAATTGAGATTATGATAGGATTTTCTCAAATTGTAGCATTTTTAAACTACAATGTCCTTTATGAGTACAAACATAATTGGCAGAGATTATATACTGTAAATCCTCGAATTAGCCCCCTGGGGGCTTATTTATTTTTGATATGTTTGGATGGGTGCTAATTCGAGAGGGGGGCTTATATGAAGGGGTGCTTTATAAAATTATTGTAGACAATAAGCAGACATTATAAAAAGACCTTGTTTATCTTAGTAGGAATTTCTTTATGAGCATTTAATTAATTACTACCAAAAGTACCAATTTGTCATGGTAATTCAATAAAACGCCACAGGCAACCTCAGATGGCAAAACCCACCAATTTGAGGGGTCTAATTCGAGAATATATGGTAGCAGTGGGGCTTATTCGAAGGGGGGGGCTTATTGACAATTTGTAGTTCTAGGGTGGGGCTTATTCGAGGGGGGGGGCTTTTCGAGGGGGGGGGAGCTTTTTCAAGGGGGGGGGGGCAATTCGAGGATTTTTGGTATCTGTAAATAATAAATTCTGTATGTTTGAGAAGAATCAAGCAGCAATACAATGTACAAATTCTTTGTTTGTTTGAAAGGACTGTAGGAGCCGCTCTTTGGCAACAAGAGACTAAATGCTTATGATGTGCTATGATCTTTTGGGTTCTGATATCCAACCCACAGCTTTTATTTGTAGCCTGTATTTCTCTGATTTTTTGCATCACACTTTTTCATTTTGTTTCTCAAATTGTAAAAATCACGCAAAATGTAGAGTACCTTGGCTGAATTTTGCAAACAGTGCTCTGTGATGGAATTGCTGCATTTGCAGTTTCCAAAAACACAAGTATTTTAAGGTCAGATGGAGGTTAGTTTAGGATTTTATTTTTATTTAGAACAATTCACTACCAAGCACAAGCCTTTTGAGTTTATTCTTCTCTTTACAGATTTCACATTTTTCCAGTTACCTCAGATAAGCAATCAGAACAATGTGGAAACTAGCTCAGTGTTTGGTATTGCTTGCTTTCAGCAGATTTCCAGCAGTGTAAGAAATAAAATCTTTGATCACGTCTTTTCTTTTGATAGTCTTTTGTTTTTGTGAACTTCATAACTTGAAGTCATAATTTTGTGAACTTTATAACATGTATAAATTGTACTTTTGGATCCTTTAGAAGTCTAAAGTGCATAAAAACAGGACTCTCTCTTCAGGCTTAAATCGAACTAAATTTTCTACAGTCTAGTTGAATTTTTGTTCTACGTGATCTGGAGAAATAACTAAAAACTAATTAGCAATCCTGTTCGAATGATTTCCGTTATGAATTGGCGGTATTTTCAGGCCAAACTCTTGTTATGAATTAATTAAAAAGTGAAGATACAAAATAAAGCTTTGGAGATGCAAAATTATTGGCGTCCTGGCCATACACATCCTGAAATAAACATGAAATACAGTTGATTACAGAAATATAGAATATTAAACCACCTGTCGTGATATTAGTAAAAACTTACTTCACTTGCTCTGTTATCATCTTTTAGGGAAGCTATTATCAACTCTCTTTTACAAAAGCATTACAAAGCTGCTGCAATAAACTCTTGCAATTGCAAATTATTAATGCAGACTGACCACGAAGATAGAGTTTTACATACAATGACTGTAATGCCCTTACAATACTCAAAAGCATTTTCAGACATTGTTTTGGTTTACTATCAGTAAAATAAATCTAACCAGGCTTCCTTTGAAATTGTTTAATAATCTCAGGCACTTCAGACCCAATTATTTATAATGGGAGAGGGCCAACAATGAGACGAGCAACGTCTGAGGGATTTTCCTATTATCATGCTCTGTGACAGGCTGGCACCAAAATAAGGCCCCGGGCGACTTCGAAAGAGGGGCTAAACATCGAGGGTGAATGGATGAGTAAAAAATAGAGATCCACGATTTTTTTTGGCTCACAATTTATGTTTTTTACAGTCACTACTAGCTGTCACTATCTAAAATTAACGATATATCAAAATAAATTTCACAAGCAAAGGGGCCCTGTAAAGCTCCTTCTGATGGGGGTCCTTCGGGCTGCATCCAGGTAGCCTAGCCTAGCCGGGCATGTGTTTGTGCTTTTGCAAGCTGAATTTTATCATGTCACGTGACTTCAGTATTTATAGCATTTAGCAATTTTTCATGACTTGAACGCTCTCAGATATGCAGTTGCGATTATCCTACGTGCTCTAAAGTAGTTGCACCTAGAGGGGCTGCATGAACGGGTGGGGGCATATTCTCAGGACTGTTTAGGAAGATATGTTTTTGAAAGCCGAATTTCAAGGCGTTGTCCTTCAGTTATGCTTTTTATCTTGATGGGAAAAAGGCTTGTTTTAAGTGGCTCAAGCTCTGATTGATTTTTCGACGAGTCAATTTTGATAAAGCTGATCGCCTTGCTCAGCTTTGAAGTGCTTTTGCGCCTAGTTCATCTCTGAAGTGCAATCTCTTTTACCTTGGTCTCTTTTTTGCAAGGGCTGTTTCCAGAGGTGGCTGACAGGGGCACAACATGCCAATCAGGAAAATTTGCTTAGGGGTATCTTTAAGAGAAAAATTTTGTTTTGTGCTTTTAGTAAGCCTATTTCACAAACTTGGTAATCTTAATGTTTCAGACTGACAATCTTGTCGAGAAAGCTTGCACTGGTCAATTAAATTACTGGGAACTTGTGGCATCTATGCTTTGCCAGTAGAGCAGAACCTATAACATACTATATCTTCTTTTCTAGGAACTTTTAGTGAAAAGTGCAGATGTTACTCGAACTTCGGTGCAGAAAAGCGTTGTCATTCTTTTGAGAATGGTAAGGGAACATTTGAAACTTTTATCAGCAATTAAATATTAATCTTATATTCGCTTTGTTAATGTTATGTTCCGAAAAGCTTTGTTGCAATTTTTCCTTTAACAGGTTATCAGGTTTTTCAACAACATCAATCTATGCTAAATCTTCTCAATGAATTATTTATTGATTTTACTTGTTAGCAGAAATCTTTTCGTTTATATGGAATAAAAGCTCTGAAACTTATTGGTTTGGTAATTAGTTGGAATACAGTTTGCAATCCACTAATTTAAACGGTTTAAAAAATTTATCATAAATGTTTCTATTCTGTGTTGTACTTTGTACCTCAGTTTCTTGTGGCAGATCCAATTTAATAAAGATTTCTGAGACTTCTGCAATTCAGACTTATGTATTTCTGATACTTATGATAGTTTTTACAATTAAAATAATATGCCTAGGTAGTAATTACCAACTTTCGTTACCATTTCAATAGCCCGTGTGAGTGCTATGGGAGAAACAAAAGCAACTGACTGACGTATTATTTTCCCTAGCCTCTGTTTGGATTTATACACGCCAAGCTCAGCCTCATTACTCAGGCGTACTTCAATGAAAAAGACTTTTCTCGGACAGGTATCTTGAAGGTGAGAGAACATTATATCTTTAGAAAAAGGTTGATGCGCTATTCATCGTTAAACGGAATTTTGTTGCAGAGAGAAACAAATGAAAATCTTCAAGTGACTGCGATAGAGCATGCCCAGTAACTAGGAATCACTATTTCGCATTATCTTTTAACTTGATGGCAGATAAAGTTGTTTGTCTCTACAAGGAGACTGGTGACGTTGGGAAGTTTAATCCATGTTGAAAACGTTAATTGATTGTCTGACAGCCGTATTCTCTCTAAACACAAAATGTGACCAGTAAATAACGATAAATGGCTGTTATTTTAATCATATTAAAATAACTTCTCTTTATTAAAAATTACTTTTGATGTAGCAGGAATACCGTAATGCCTCGAATAAGCGCCCGGGCGCTTATTTAATTTTTGAGGCTCCAGGGTGGGCGGTTATTCGAGGGAGGCGCTTAATCGAGGGGGCGCTTATTTAAAAAGTAGATTTGGGTGCAAATTGTGTTGTTCATTAATCTTTCTTGTTGATTTGCCTTCCAACTATGTTTTCGTTGAAAATTCGAATAAGCATACGTTTCTGAAGGTTGAAGGATGGGCGCTTATTCGAAGGGTGGGTGCTTATTCAATTACTTCACCTCTAGGATGGGCGCTTATTCGAGGGGGGGGGCTCTTATTTGAGGGAGCGCTTGTTCGAGGCAGTACGATACTACTTAACCCATAAAAACATGGATACATATAGCTTAAGTTATTAATGTACTTTTTACATAATCGACAGCTGCAATTAAAACCTTAGCTTATTTTTCTACGTCTGGAACTCTTTATGCCAGATAGCACTGCATTTCATAGTATACCGCCAAGATTTACACACACAATACGATATTTTGTGGTTTTGGCCAATATGGTTGAATTGTAAACATTTCTCGAGAAACTAACAGAACCTGAACAGCTATCTATTCAAGCGATTTTAGGGCGCCTTCGCGAATCTTCTTACTGCCTTAGTAAAACAAACTCCCATTAAAAAAATTTAAAGGAAAGGGAGATTCCTATCTGAAAAGAAAATGCTGAATATTGCCATGAACAATTACTAAAAAATTTAAAATTCTACCTCATTTTTGATAAATGCTATGAAACTATCATCAACAAAATTCTATTTTTGCTGAAAATTTTGCATGGAATTATGAGTCTAATTTCTGAACAATTTTTTTGGCGGTACAGAACTTGAAAATGGCTTTGAAAAAAGCAAACATTTCCAAACATTTTACTAATAGCCGTTTTCTCTCTTGGACTCCAGTGGCAATTTTTCTGTAGGCGCGCAACACTGATTGGACAACTTTGCCAGTCATGTGCTTGCGTTTTTCTGATTGTCCTATTTCGATCCACAACTGGATATATATATTTTATCGTGTTCTTTCGGACCCTTGCTCTGACTTTTTATGTTCTGAGGAGTGTCAGACGAAAAAACTTTCAGTACAATGTTGTGAAATGTAAACTATAAATTTCTGTGCGGTGCCGGTCTTTGGCTAGAAAAGAAACTTTTCACATGAAAGACCTTTCACTACTATCCAGACTTTCTGCTGACAACAAAGAAGGCTATTAAACGTACTATAGAATGCTTTGTCTAAGAGTAGCCAGAGCACAGGAAAACAGCTGATACTTGATCTTATATATCAGAATTCTACAACAGCACAATGAACTAAAAGTGGCCTAATGATTGTGTCTGGATCGGTTCGATATCTCGTGCCCGAATCAATGAAGGTTCTTTTGGTACCTGCAATGTCAGATAAGCTAATGGATATATGGAGAAAGGATTCCTGATTTCCTGGTTTATAGAAGGAGGTGTCGAATTCCAATACACCCAGCGTATTTTCTTTTTCCGCCTATTTTTCCTAGGGCAATGCTCTTTCTACTGCAAACTTGGAAACTTAGCATGTCATTTTCTAAGCGAAAAAAGGATTTTCGTTTACCAGCAAAGATTGACATAAGAAAGTCTATATTTTAGAAACTTTTTGTATGATATCAAAAGCTTTGCTTGTTATTGTAATGCGAGCAAGAAAGATCTTGTTCCTAGCTGGATGTTTAGCAAAATGAATGGTTTGTCAGAACACGGCCAGTCAAGTTGGCATTCTATTATAATTGGCAGCCTCTGTGAAACCTTGGTCTTGCAAGATCTAATATTATAAACCTTCGTTACATTTCTATCTCTACAGCTTTGATTCTTCATAAGCATTTTGTAATGAAACACTGCTAGAGCACTCAAGAAACATCAGATCAAAACTACCTGTTTATTTTAATCGAATAAGAACTAATCCAAAAACTTGCTAATGTTTTCAATTCGTTTGCAAAATTTAATGCCATCAGGCGTTTAATACCATTAGGCCTAAAATGTTCTGCCTCGTTACATGATGGAGAAATTTCAAGACAAATAGTGAAGTTTTTGTGTTGACAGGCTCCTGTAAATGATGCTTGAAAAGCCTCAAGATCGCAAGCTACCCTTTAGATACGAAACAATGTCATTCTCTATACAATAAGGTGCAAGGAAAAACTTTCAACAGTTATAAAGACTTGCTGAGTGCCCTTAGACTGATCTCTAGTTAACAACAAACGGCTACATGTTCCTTGTAAATATTTACCTCATTTCTATCTTGCCTCTTTCCCAGGATGCCTACACTGCGTTAAATCAATCTCTCTCCTTTTCCAACATCAACGATTCAATGTACCTTGTTGGTAAGTGTTGCCGATTAATGTAATTTTATGAATCAAAGTTGCCGTAGTGTTGCTTGCTGTAGATCTACGTTTGGTGATCTCAACATTGAATTGAATTCCGTGCTCTCGCATTTGAATTTAAATTGGATTTTTGGTTTATGGTGATAATCTATTGGGCTCAGGGGCTGTGCATAACTCTGTTGAAAAATAACTATGTTTTGTTGTAATGTTATATGGATGTAGCATGAAGTAGCGAAACAGATAATATTTTCATGGATTGGCTAAATAATAAGTCACCAAACTTCATTATGCTATGCATAGGCAAAAACCTTACTAAAAGAGTCATCGATTTTTCATCAGTAAACTTAGACATCAGGTTCAAACCTGTTTCACGCCTGTTTCTAGTATTATTGTTGGGAGATATGCTCCAGAACATTAGTGGTATTTTGTCTTAAGAACTGCACTGCTATTTGAACAACTGGTGTTCATCTCAGCTCAGCCGCTAAACCCCATTGGTCAACTTCATGGAAACTGACCAATAATCTGGGTATCAGGCTCTTTAGTAAGACATCCTGCTTAAACCAAACTTGTAAAGCGACTGATATTATAGCAGGCGGGGTAAAACCTTTGTTTTGCTAGTGAAGCGCAAATGAGAAAGCATAGGAGAGATTTACACTTTGTAGATTCTAGCAATAAATTCCAAAAACTGTTTCATTACTCCCTTACCAGTTGTTTTCTTCTTTGGTGTTGTAAAATGTTTCTCGTTTGCGCAAAAATGCCTCCTGTATTGTTTATCTATGCATTTTTATCCATCCTATGTAGTTTATCCATGTACTTTTTCCTGTATGTCTTTATTTTCGTTAGGCCATCAACAGTGAACCTTTTCATCTGATTTTGTCAAATTTTTAGGGCTGAACGTCGGTGACCTTGTTCTGAAATTAAAGCAAAAGGTATGACTGTTTGCGAACAGAGTGCGACTTAATTTACGCACCAGTTTTGAAAGTACTTTGTTGAGAAATAATGATGTTTGGCGACTTTTCATTATATATTATTCATTGAGGCCGGAATATACGTTAAGATAATGGTTTTCTAAGCTGTATTTCTGCATTAAAGTCGAAGTTTTCCAACGCATTTAGCAAATGTCAGTGGTAAGGAGCCAATTGTTTTTAAGAAATATATTTAAAGGATGGTAAATGATGTTTTTTACGTCCATAATAAATATTTGGGCTTAGATATAAATTGCACTGTTTTAATAAGATTTTGCTTCAATTTCAGGCTCTTGTTTTAGTAAAATTGCTTCTACTTGAGAAAAAGGTACGAGATTGCTAGTTACACCCTTCATCAATTTTTACATGGCAGTTACATTATGCTAGTAATTGACCTTTGTTGATGACTATACATAATCATCACACCAGAATCATGACTTTAAGCCGTCGTCCTTTCAGTATAGCTAATATGGATATCTATCGGTGTTTCCAAGTACAGTTGACATCCGCTATCTCGAACTCTGAAGTGAAACGAAAAATTGTTCGAGATAGCGAATGTTCGAGATAGCGGGCAGTCGAAATAGCGGATTTCAACTGTACAAACAAACCTCCATTAACAGAGTCCTACCAAGAGTAGCCTGCATGCAGCCCCTACTCTTTCGGTAACATCAATGAATTGAATCTTTTCAAAAATGTGGCTTCTTTGTAGCCATAAGCCAGTAGCTTCCACCGTGGCCAGTAAAAATGTGACTGTGGAAGCCAAAGTTTTGACATGGTTCAATTCAATGATGTTGCCGAAACAGCAGGAGCTGCACCAAAAAAAGCGGATATCTCCAAAAAACGCGAAAACGTTTTCTCCCCGATGGTCAGTACCTTGCAGAGGTAACCTTCCTACAATGGGTAGTTGCTCTAGTCCTTCAGGTTTCCTTATAAGGAGCTCACTGTTTCTATTTGCTGTTCATGATGAAAAGTGACCTATTCCAACTGTGTAGATTACTTCAGGTAGATAAGAACGCAAACGTTGATAAATGCGAGCCTGTCTGTTATTGAAACTGATAGCGACCCCCTCAATTACAATATAACATGGATATGTTCAAGTGCGGGCCTTTTGATACCAGCTTGGGCCTACGTTTTGCTACCCACAATACATTTCACACTCATATTCCTCGCAAAATTTGCTTATAGTTGTACAATCTGTTTTCCTTATATTCTTCTATATTTGTATCAATGATTTTTGGAGCGAATGGTCAAAACAATTATTTTCAAAACAGGTACTTTTTTGGGGATCACCAGTTGGGAATGTTTGTTCCAGCATCATGTCCTTGTTATCTCTTATACCAGGTTTGCAACTGTTGTCCTTTTCAGTTCGTTTTGTCTTTAAGTAAGAATCAAGACAGCATTGCAAAAAAGATGTTAAATTAGAGTACTCAATTTTAAACTCAGAATCAGTCAAGGTCGAATCAGGTTTTCTGGTCTTTGTCATTTATAATGTTGAACATCATTAGATGCAAAGTTGATATTTTATCCGAAATGTGACAAAGAATTTCACCATTTTTTGTCGACAAATATCAGTCCATATTTTCCAAACCTGTCTTATCATTAAATATGCGAAAGCTACCACATGAACACATGTACATTGATAAGATGATATCAAAATGAATTTGTATTTGCCAATTTGTATGTTTCATTTTCCAAGCAGATTTAGTTTTTGTAGATTTAAGAATTCTTAAGTTTTTGGATAAAATTGAATGTTTATTTTAGGATGCATCCGTAATTTGCAAAAATGTGGCCTATCACAGGTATTTATTTACCTATATCTGGTATATTCTGTCGATTATGAATTCTTTATTTCTTTAATCTGCATACAAGAAAAAAGTTGATATTTTTTTCCTTGAAGGCTGCGTTTCTTAAAATACTGTTGACACATTTTCATCAAATACTTTGCGATACTATTAATATCAAATTGTATGGCAGCTCTATTTGGTTTAAGGAAATATTAAAAGGTTTTTAATTAAAAGGTAAAAATTGGCTGTGTTTTGTTTGGCTACATATGATTTGATATAATCGATTTTCATTTATATAGAGTGGCAAGTCAAAGAAAGACGAATATGGTTTGCCACTGGATATGTTTGGAAAGGTGAGAGTTTGAGACTCGTTATTTGTCTTTGGAAAAAATATCGAGCACAAATTTTTTTTTTGAAAAATCAGGTTGATCAAAGCTTTTTGAGAATACAAGTTGTTAGTTATATGCTCTAAGTTAGTATAAATATCAATCTCTTCGTCAACTTATAACCGTCCTTATCCTCATCCTCATCACAAACAGGGAACTTTTTTATTATTCGCAGCTCCAATTATTTGCAAGGAATTTTTTGGAGTTCTTATATAGAGGTGGCGGGAATAAAAATCCTACTTCTTTGTCAGGCTGCTATTTAGATGCTTAAAGCTTAACTTTTGATTCGACAAGTCGGAGTATTTGAAGCACGGAATCGGAAAAGAGAACTACAATGGAAAATCAGATTTTACGAGTCTGACAACGAAAGCCCTGCTGCAATTCATAGCGTTTAATCCGGTCATAGCAACTACGTTCCTTAACATTCTTTCTCTCCTATTCACAGGATTACCTCTTCCAGCCATACTTAGCAATGCAGCAAATGGGGTCTATCTCATCAGCTACGGGCTATGTTATTGGTACCTCAAATGTTCTGTTTAAGCATCAATCTCATGTCAGTTGGGATGTCCTCGTAGATGTACGTACATTTCTACATTTTCAAGCATACTAGTATATCGTTTCTTTTCAGTGTCCTTTTCTATATTATCTTAATACCCTAGAACCAAACTTTGGGAACTGTAAGTTTAGGATATGCATAAGATTTTTATACTGCTACTTTTTGTGTTGTTAATCGGATGATGATTTAGAAATTAAAAGTTTATAAGAGATTTGATATAGAACATTATTCGCAGTGAATCTTTCAACATTCAGTAATCGATTGTAATCATCTTGCTTCGACAATGCAATTAACCTCTTGGATCATAAAGCAATAAAAATCAGACCGAACTGTTGTTGTTAGATTTTGCTAAACCTTTCAATATAATTCAAAAGTTCTGAAGTTGATTTTTGTGACGTCATTGTTAGGTCACTTAAGAATTCTATTGTTGAATTGAACCTAGTGTATTAAGAATGAATTTCTAATATCTTTGATTTAAAATTAAATTGATTTAATCTTCTTTTCTTTAGCTGGAGAGCAACGATATGGTGATAAATGACGGTAAATTGTCTCAAGCACTGTCCCTTACAACTGAAGATCTACGATTTAGCGACTTTTTAACTTCAACTGTGGCTGATTATGAAAAAGACTCAGGAATCTGTAAGTGTGTACTGCATTATCTGTTTATATTTTCATACCCATTTTAGCTTGCATCATCTTTTTTCGCTGGTTCAGTCATCATGAATTCTATACTCTGAGCTTTGACTCGATAACTTTCTGTTGGTATAAACTTCATGCATGGATTATGAAGCATCAACAAACTGGAGTCAATCTCGTCTGAAACAAGTCCAAATGTCAATATCCATATGAAAAATACTATTAGCAGTTATTGTTTGAAGCACCAATCTTCTAGTTTACTTTTCAAAACAAAAATACTAACAGCTAAATACTTACCAATCAGCATTGTAATGAAGATGCAAAGATTTAGAAAGAAGAACCGATGCTTTATGCAAGAATTTTACCTTTGTAATATCTGAAAAGTGATGTGGACATGGCTGTCTTTTCGTTCTTTTGTTTGTGCTTCTCCGTCGTTCTCTATCTGATTGCTTGATCATTTGCGTGGGATGTGTTTATTCAGTATCTTGTACCAGTATTTTATTCCTTCTCTGTATGATCCCTGTGTTCTTGAAGTTATGCTGCATTTTGTCAACATTGTTTTTATGTAATTTAACTTTGTCAAATGTCTAATGTTTATTTCCTGGTTCTTAGTATAATTCTCAAGATTTTATTGGGTTAATTTTCCCAACCCTGGCGCAGAAGCTACTTAATAATTTCCTGTTTTACAAAATCTTTCACATCTTGAGAATCACTTTTGTAAACGATGCTTCTTCTATTAACTAACAGCATGGGATGGAAGTGATGAATGGATTCGACTTCAGTTCAAGTACTACTTCCTTTGCCTTCTTGCAAGCACGGCACCTGAAAAAGGTTTTTTATTTTTCTAATTTTCTTTGCTGAATTCGTATAATTATGTTTGATTATTATTGAATTCATTAATTATTAACAGTATTTTCATAAAGGTTAAATTGTGAATTACCGGTAGTCTAGAATTATGAATGTATGCTTAATTGTATCTATGTGAAGTTGTAAGCTTGAATCATGTCTTTTTTGTTATCATTTTTCTGCTAATTTTAGATTTGTAAATGGCTTTGAAAAAAGCAAACATTTAGTAAACTAAAGCTTAGAATTTTAGATTTCTTTGAGCTAATTTCCTTAGGCAAAATTGTGTTTATGCATTTCAAGCCCTAATATTATGTGCTATAGTCGTACACAGCAAATTGTGAATTCATTCAAAATTTTATTTTTAACAAATATTAATTTAGATTCTAATTTTTTAAATTGACATTTTTTTGTCATTCAGAACTAGTAGCATAAGGTTTAGGTGCCGTAAAGTGTGTGTCTTTGTCTCTAAGTGCTGCATCTTCCCTTAAACTTTCATTTGACTTCAAGCTAACGATGCATCTTTTGTTCATACCCTTGACATATGATTCCCTGATTGTTTACGTTGTAACCGCCATTGCACAGATAATCCAACAACTCTTGCGCTCATCCCTAACACACCGCTCCCTTTGCATTTTAATTTTTAACAATTTTCCCATTGATAGTTTTTTCATGACGACGGTCATAAGATTAAACTAACATCCTTTCGCTGTTTGTATTTCTCATTGCCTTTGGTTTTTCTTGAAGGAAATTCGAATTTCATTGATAATCAATTCAACAATGCTTTTATTCACAATTGGAGGAGCACTGACACTTACAAGAAATGGTGCAAAACTAAACACCATACCATAGAGAACATACATCAGGGGTATGAACTGTTATACACAAGCAACAGTTATCCTTTCCGTTATCATAACACGGGCATCTTTGTTTCTAGCAAATATTCCTGTTGTGCTACAATCGCTATCAAATGTATTGTAAGGGCGAGCTTACCCATATCCCTCTTCCCTTTGGAACAATGTTGGTTCACTACAAAATAATATTAGGATATTAGGATATTAAGACGTACATTTTTCATGCCATTTGTATGATAATTCAACATTATTCTGGGAGAATGGGACGGAAGTAGTAATATTCGGGACAAGAATATAATAAAACGCAATTCAAATTACAGCCTTTTCCAAGTAATCTTGGCTTAACTACGATTAGCATCTCTTACCTTCGCTTGCATCGTATGTTCTAGTTAGCTGACAAGCCAGTTAGTAATGGTGGTTATCCTTGTTGTTTTATTTGAGTGAACTAGCTAATTGCGCAGTGACAAGTAAGCAAGGGACTAGCTCCTATCACTGCTTTAGAGATCTCAAAGATAAAAGGTGCTGCTACTGTTTTGAGAAATCATTGTGAAAGCTTCTATGTACTGTTTGTTCTTACAATTCTAGGCATCCTTTTGAAGGAGGCTTGTCTCTATCTGATTTGAAACTCAGGATTCAGAGGTATGTTGAAGACACAAAAATATATTAAAAAATCATGCCACCTTCTTTATATATGTATGAATCGAAACATTAACGTAGCCATTAACATAGACATAAGTTGCAACTTAGAAACTTTGTGTTTCAAGCACCAAAGTGTGTACAGTTCTGCCTATACGACACTATAGGACTTTAGGACCAATCGGTAACACAGTAATTTTCAATGAGTTGATAAATAGATGAACTAATCAGTTGGTTGATTTTTAATTGCTTAAGACAGTGGCATTGTTGTTGCCTACTTCAGCACGGTTGGCTTGTTGCTTAGTGTTATCTTTTGTTTGAGGCACGTTTTTTATAAAAATACCAAAAGTTCTGTGTCTGAAGTTCTGCCAGCTTCTCTGCTGCTCAACATTTTGCATTTGTTGAGCGGGAGAGAAGTTGAGCGTTTGCAACATTTTTCCTTTAGTCGAATCGATGCTTTATCCATATCAGAAGAGTCCAAAGAGAAAATAGGTGCAGTTGTTAAGAAGACTGGACAAGTTGTTGGTAAGCCAGCTATTTCATTTGTGTTCCTAACTTCCTGGCCTTCTAGTATTATAGCTAATCGCTCTGACTCTTTACTGTCGACTCTCGCTATCTCGAACGCGATAGAAATTGAATTAATTTTTTTGATTCGGTAGACTTGGAGATGACATGGAGATGGGATGATAACATTTCTAACGTCGCTAACTGATGGCTTGAATTCGACTTCATCAATTTGTGTTTTAGAATTTGGAAAGAGTGCAGTTGCAATGCCAGGGCTGGAAGATTGGAGGGAAAAAGGAGCCTGACACCTGGGGGTTCCGGGGATTTACAACGGGGGAATAGTTCTGTTGACAACATCCTTGAAAATTAGGGAAAACGCCCCATTTTTAAATGTGCTTGAAAAACGCTAATGCTTTTTACGTGTTAAAATGGCTAATCAAACATAACGAGCTTTTGTGGCTGACCCATTCCATTCTACAACTAGGTATTTCCTTCACAATTCCTCTTACGTTTATATTCTGAATCGTGTCGGGCGAGGAAACTCTACGTGTAAAAGCTGATTTTTCGAAGTTGTGTTATTATTTGTTGTCTTGGTTTCAAAAAAGTTGATAACGGAGGTGTAGATTACTTCCAGAAATAGAAATACTTCTCAAAAGATTTGTGTTGTAACATGGTTTAAAGGGTGCAACAGCAGTCCAATAATTAAGTTTAAGGCCTAACAAGGAAAGGACTTTCTGCTTCTCTCTGCTGCTTTGCAACTCTAAATGCTTTGTCGAATTTCAATTAATCTTGTTTTTAGTTAGTGGGTAGAACAAAGTATAACATTGTTTTTTTTACTTTTTGCCAAAACACTTGATTGAATTACCACTAGAGTGAGCCTGCACCCATGCACCCCTCTAGAAGTTCCATTCAACCTTTATGAGGGTATCCTGTTTTTGACCACCTTTGAATAAAATATTTTCAAAGATACCACACAAATTATTGAAGCTTTATCAATAAGAACCTCCAGATTTCCAACAAGAAGGATTTTTTATCCTAGTACCTTGCTCTGTTTTCATATATTGCATGATTTTCCAAGTCTGTTCTTACTTAATCTTACTTAAGTATCACTGTTTGTCTTCCCTTTGCCAGGGGGTGCTTTATCTTCAGCAAGAAATGCATTTACGTCATGGAGAGGGTGGTTTGCTGGGCTTGTAGAAGAAATCAATGAAGAAATGCAAGGTAGCAAAGTAAATGTTGAATTTGTTAACAGCAATGAAACAGAATTAGATGGAGACTCAGCAGAACTTAATCAGGGTATGTTTATTCATGAGAGAAAAGGGGCAAATAAACCTCTCATATAGCATAGCTTGGTATGATCAGGCACTGCAGAGCGTCAAGAAAAATAGGTGGTTTTAAAAAAGTGTGGGAGGGAGCTAAGACCTTATATAAAGAGCTCCCCTGCTCTGCAGTGCCTGATTATGGTCACCAAGTTGAAAATTTTCTCCAACTTTAAGCTTTAAATTGACAGAGTGAGTTTTCAAAGTTTTTGATGGCTGTCACACAGATTTTTAAGAACGCAAATATTATCTGCTGTAATTCTTCCTACACTCCCTTCAAAGATAATCTATCTGGCTTTGTGTTTGCTACATTCTTTCACGTTGTATACAAAGGTTCAAACCTTCCTGGAAAGACTAATACGGGACATTGTCAGAGTGCAGCTTTCCCTGACAAGGATTGATGCCATCTGTACTTTTGACAGAATTTACATTATAACAGTTTGAAAGTTTATTTTGTATATTTTATCACAACCTATTTGACCAAAGCCAAAGCCAACCTTAGCCAAAACCTCAAAGTGCAAAAAGTCATCAAATGCTGTTAAGATCTGCAAACAAATAGGTTGTATCTTAACTTAATCATTAAATCATGAAATATGGACAGCTGGAAATCATTATGTTTTGCTTTCTAAGATGCCCTTTCTTGCAAATGGTTTGTCATTTCATACCATAGTTTGTGTTTTTATACTGGATTTTGTCTAATGGCATGCTTATCAAAACTGGAGGTTCATTCATTTTTGCAAAATGGCCCAAACAGGATTGCGTTATATTTAATTCACAAGGGATAGTATCTGACACAATGCATCTAACTCAATTTGCATAAAGCTATAAAGCTAAAATATTTTTATGAAATAAGTATTTATTGACCTACAGCAAGTCTCAAATTTATATACTGCTTGCAACTTGACACTGTACCATAATTACTTTACGCAAGGGACATATTTTAACTGTATACTTTGTTGGAATATTGAATCTTGGAGTAACAATTACTGAATGTTAACTATAATTAAAAAGTCAGAAAACTAATTACATAAATCTATTCTCAGTAGCTAATTTTTCTTAAATCTAGCTTTTGAAAGTATGTGCTCTTGTCAAATTGTTTTGAATTTAGCTAAAAGTAGTTTTGCACCAATAGATCATTTTTGTTTTAAAATTACAGAAATGTTTCAAACCACCTGGAGGTTTTTACATTCAACCTTTTTGGTGCTGAATACATGCTTAATTTCTGCCAACCACAGTACATGTTGTATCTGATAACCTTTCAATTTTCTGTTGATTAGGGTTATTCTTTAGGATTGTATGTTTATAAGTATGTTGGCTGTGACAATATAACTGTTGCAGCAAGGGCAACTTTGAATGCATGTACTTGGATCCTTGATAACTGAGCGATGGGGCTATCCCAGTTTTTGGGCTTGGATGTTCTAGTGTAAAATGCTTTGCTGGGGATAACCCTACTCCAAATATTAAGACATTCTTAGTTATGAATATTAAGACTTAGCACAATTTGAATATTAAGGGAATCATAAGTTAGCCCTACTGCTAAGGGTATTTCTTAAAAGTGTAACCCCATCACCAAGTGACCAGGTTGTGAGTGGAGTTGCAAGTTTTTCTCATTGAAGAAGGACTACTTGCTAGAATATTCCACCAGTTTGAACAATTGATTTTTCTTTAAATATAAACTTAACGCTTATGCTTAAAAAGCAAAAAATTGCTTCCAAAAACTTTTTGAAGCAGCAAATTAGCTTCTTGTCTCCTCAAGTTCAAATTTGAATTTTGCCTTATGTATCAATTTGGATCTATTGTTAGTGTTTTCATGGTGACAAGAGCAGGTAACTATTTTTTGGTATGGCTCCACAAAGATGGCATTATATTAGTGAATGATCAGAACAAGATACATTTGGTTTCTAATATGCAACATTTAATTTCAAACACTAATAATTTTCTTCAAAACATATTCAATTAAATATTTAGAATTATGATAACTGAATTATAATCAGACTCTTAATCAATGTGCTTGAATTGAGAACAGAACTAAAATGCTAAAGCTATGTCTCCTTCACATGGGTTCTTTCCTCTTCTGGAATAATATACCAGTTTGGTGACTGCTCATCTAGCTTTAACCAGTTAAAATCATCCACATCATTCCACTTATTTATATGGGTGTTAAGCCCAGTCTCTAGAAAGTGTTCCACCAAACCTTCATAAGACCAATTGTATGGTGCAAACCCAATTTCTTTGCAGTCTTCAATGATTGCTTTTCCAGTAACATGAATGCTGAATGTTGTCTTACTTGTTGTGTGAATACGCAACTGCTGACATGCTAATGAGAACTGGCATTCTATGCAGTCAGCGACAAACAAGGCACGGCATATTGGTCCACAGAAAACTTTGCAGTTCCTTAAATTATTTACATGAACAACTGAGGGGCATCCATAAATTTTGACAATGCAATGTTCTAAATTTGATAGCTTAATGTCCTTTTGACTACTTTTATCTGCTGTTAACACCAATTCAGAATATTTTTCATCACTAAACCCAAAATCACTGAACGTAACTGGTTGTCCAATGGAAGTTTTATCATCATTTTCTACATTTGGTTTATTTTTATCCTGCTTTTCCTCTACATGCTGGCCTTTTTCTACTGCAACTTTTCCAGATGCTTGAATTGAAACATTTGTTCTTGCCTTAAATGCAAATTTCTTTTTTGGAATGAGCTCACTACGCTTTTTCCCAATTAGATCTTGCACATTTTGCAAGGCTTTCTGAGATTGCCTCACATCATAAGATGGCAGCAAAATAACTGAATCTGTAGCATATTTTTCAAGTGTTCTTAAGTTGAGCAAGATCTCATCAAACTTTGAAGTAATTTCTTCCCTGAATAAGAGAAAAAAGTTGCTTCATCACACTACAAGATCATTAAAAATGGTTTGCGCTTTAAGATAACATAAAACCAAATCTCAGATACATTATATTTCACAGTTATTGCCAGATAAGGTTATTTGCAAAAAACACGATTAGATAAAAAATGTTATGTGCAGACTCTATGGCAGATTCTTAATAATGCATGGGCAGTATGAAGGATGAAAACTGTTGTGCGAAATGTGTTCCCTGGGAAGACCAAACTTAACTTTCTGGTTTTTCTTGCCATCCATAAAGTGTTTAAAAATGAATTTTGTGCAAGAGACATAAGATTGAAGGCTGCTGACTGAACCAAGCCCACAGAACATCTATTTGATAAAATTGCAGATCCACAGTCACTGCTTGATAGTTAGGTGCCTGATGGAAACAAGCCCCCAAGAAGCTAGAAAATTTAATTTAATTTATTTTGGAAAATTTATCTCACAACATTGGATTCTCATCGCTGTTTTGCTTTGTTTCCGAATTTTATCCTCGTATTTATATTATACTGATTGCAAGATTCACAGAATCCAGCAGACAGCCTATTCTGCGATTCTTCCTTCTCACACAAAATTTTATTTGCTATAGGTTTTATTTTAAGATTGTATTTTATTATAAGAAGATCAAATATCTTCACTATTAGATAATATATTTTATATTCCATTTTTGTATATCCTAAGATCTGTTTTTATGTATTAATTTTACGTTAGATAATATTACAATGCTGTTCACACCTGGGCAGCTTTTATAAGCTGTCATATAGATGAGCAACCTTTTAGAAACCTGATGCAAAGGAACTTATGATAATATAAAGCAAAAGATCTAATTTAATGAAGAGTTGTAAACATTTCACTATATTACGGAATCTACGAAAGTCCAAATATTGGGCTCACCTGCATTGCCCAACCTTCAACTCGTCAATCTCTTTCGTTATACTGTTCAGCTCTTCTGTGAATTTTTTGTTAAATTCCACTACGTCATCACCATTGACTTTATTGGCTGCAGAACTGCCCTTTTTTCTTTGTAGCTGTGCTAACCTCGCCTCTTGTTTTTTTTCAAAGCGCTCTCGCATTTTTGCTGCTTTGGCGTCCATATTGCGTCAAGTTTCTCAAAGAACAGCAACTAAAACGAGGCTGAACAAAGGAGTCATTTTTGCTGACGATGCCCTCTTCTTTCTCAAATTCACTGATCAGTTGTTTTGTAGCCTGCGCCCAGTTCTGGTGAGATACTTGAAGAGCCTGCGCCCAGTTCTGGTGAGATACTTGAAGAGCCCGCGCCCAGTTCTGGTGAGATACTTGAAGAGTCTGCGCGCAGGCTAAAATTTTGTTGCTGACGTACTGACCATTTTTTCTGATTGTGTTGATCAGATAGACCAGACGGAAATGGCGAGGAGCACCACTTTGGGGCGGGGAAACTTTGATTACCAGTTTTGAGTTGTTTATCAACTGGTGATATTGAATTGTGATGACGATTTTCCGCTGTTTTTGGGGGGTAAAATGGGGGTTAAATCAAGAGAAGTTCCTGCTTATTCTCTGGGGAAAAGAAACGTCGCTGGGATGATGTTTTCAACCAGATAAACCTTGTCTAAGCAGTGGAATATGAAAGACAGTTTATCTTTTTTGGTAGAAATACTTTTAAATTAGTAAAATGAGCTTTAATTTGTCACGTGATGTCTAACTACCCATATGTTCTTATATGGATATCTTGTTAAAAATGGGCAAAGCAAAATCATCCTTTGACATCGGAAATTTATTTTAGAATGCAATTGACTATCAAAACTTTAAGAAGGAACTGCCGCACCACGTAGCTGTAGATGTCGGCTAGGAGGGGCAAACTCGAGCAAGAACCATTCCTAAGGGAGGCAGGCTTTGAAACAAGAAAACAGATATATAACAAACATATATATTTGGACTAAATTAATCTCACGGATTTATAATTATGCCAAATTTTCAAAATATAATTCGGAAAAACTGTAGCCAGAGAGGGGGCAAGCTCTTGTCAAAATTTTCATTGGGGGGGCACATCCCTCCGTGCCCCCTGCAGCTACGTGGCTGAACTGCCGTGTTACTCAAACTATAAAAAGGGACTTTTTGTCGTTTTTATCAACTAACATTGATGGTATTAATTGGTCTTAAAGACAATTACTATGCTAATACAGATAAGATAAACGTGAAATCTTATTGAGGAAATCAAGAGCTAGAGCTACATAAGAATGATAGGTAGGAACAGCACAAACGACGAAAAGCAATTCAATACAGATGAATCCAATATGTTAAACCTAAATTTAGCAATAAATTATAATTTTGATAGGGCTTGATGTACTTAATTGTCTTGCTTGACTCGTAAAGTAAAGAACTTGTATTTTAAAATCAGTAACTGAAATAGCTGTGTTTTTTCTTTAGCACACAGTGGACGGATTATTGTTCATTACACACCGATGATCCTTTTTCTTCCCATTCTGTTGTTTATAAATTCTATATAAAGGTTCTTGTGGAGCTGGGCTTTTGAAAAATCGAGGAACTTTTTACCTCAAAACACAATGTATAAATTAATCTACTCTAACAGGTGAAACTACCCTTTGTATATTCTTTACGCAATCCAAAAATTACAGCTACGTAAGGTACACTCTTTCTTACCCTGTGTCCTCAAAAAAAACATTACAGCCTCTCTTACAGACTCTAGTTGGAAGGTTCGGAAGAAATCAAGTCTGTAAGGCAAGGCAATAAATCTGATTTAAAAGATGTTTTTTCCTTGATCAGAACAAATTTCATGATTTTGCACAACTTGAGATTTTCTCAGTGATCGATTTAATCGAGACTTGCCCTGGTAATAGAGAATTTCTCGAAATTTTGGGGTGAGCCACCTCCTAGACTCCACAAGAGTGGTTTTGCCGATTCTCCATCAGAAAGAGAAGCATTGGGGTACATTTTCATATCCAAAGAAATGATATAAAACTTTTCTTCTGTTTTGTGTTAAGACTGACCGGCCTTTCCCCTTCTATGGAACCTTTGCTGCAACGAAAAGTGATTTCAGGTGAGACCTTTCTTCAAGCAGTCATTGCCATCCGGCTTGTTGTTATGTAGCCGGGCCGGGCCCACTTCATCCTCACATGAAAGTTTACTATTAACCAACCGCGCTTCGAAAGTTCTATTTCCATAGGAACAAATCAAAGAGGTTCCGCATATGTTTAAATTTTGAAAGCTGACAACTGAGGCATGAATTTCTACTATTATATTCACCATCAATAGAGCCACAAGTCTGCTATAGGTGTATTTAATAGAGTATTCATAACAGCGATATTCTTGTTAAAAATTTATCACCTCAACAAGATATTGTCGTCTTCATGATTTTTCATTGCCAAGCTCGTCAACTTGAAAATTAAAGTTCGCGAATTCAAGAGGAATCGATAAAATAGCTGACGTCTAACAAAAGCTCTTTCATTGAATTTCATTCAAAGAACTTAGGCCTGTGAAAATGGGCTTTGAGTTCTCGGGCGCAAAGAAAACACCGTAGCAAGGATGAAGTCGAGCTGAGTTGAATACTGATTCAGTCATTAGGAAATGGCGATTGATTTTTACAGAGCTGCACGAGAAGGACACTCGGATACCCTGCGCGTCATTACGAAGAAAGATGCAAACAAAGCAGCCGATGATGGAATGACCCCTGTGCATTGGGCAGCTAGTTATGGCAACTTGGAAGGGCTAAGGATACTCATGCGAAAGGGGTATGTAGCATTGTATCATTGCTGAACCTGCTCTTACTTGGTCAATCTTCTATGGCTAATCTAGAAAGTAAACAAGTCATCGCTGCCCAAATCTAAGAGTGATACAAAATAAAACGTTTGAAAATATAAAGGGTTTGTGATCAGTGGAAGTACAAATAAAGATTCTTATACTAGATAGTTTCAAGGCTGTTTGATTCCCTAGAGTTGTTTGCTATTATCATTAGTAGCAAAAAACCCCGCCGAGGTTGAGATACCATTCCAAGTATCTTTGTTATCGTGACGTCATAATGTTTTGATTCTTACACTGAAGAATGCTGTTGTTGTTAGGTAAGATGGAAAGGCAGGCTTGCGTTGTTATTTCTATTTCCTCTTTTAAAAGCTTGGAAATTTCATAAGACGAAAATAAAATTTCTAAACAGCTAATGAAAATTTTCTGAAGTTTCTAAAGTTTTGCAAAAAATTGTGCTTAAGGGTATCGATACTCTCTGCCCCCTGCCTCCCTATGCAAGGGTTACAACTATCTTTGAAGATTAGCATTATAATTTGGAAGGTTGAGACCCCTATCTGGGGTAAAGGAGCCCTGGTGTAGCTTATTGAAACTTACAGCGATCAGCATTCCACATATTTTCTGTCACTGCTATGGCAGAGGCTACCAGCCAGCCCCCCTCACCCCGACCCCATTTGGACCAATACTTATGTTATCGCCATAGACTGCTACAGGTAATAGAACCACAAGTTATTCCATTTTTCAAGGCAATGACATTTTGAAATCTCGGTCATTAGCTGGATTCAGTAAGAAGAATACCGTGTCTTTTTGGTGCTGAGTATTAATGTTTATGACTTTGAATAGGAATACCCATATACCAAACTTGATTGCCATATTTTAACTGATGGACACCATTAATATTTTGAGTATATGGTTTATTTGTTGGAAAGGCTTCTCCTTTAAACAGGCCACAACTGTCAGGTTATTACTCGAAATACGAAATGCCGTTTGTTATAATTGTTATTTATCGATATTCACGCGGACGCCCGCATTGCCACAAATTGTAAAAATACCAACGCAGTTGATTCAGAAAAAGGCTTTGAGCAAAAATAACAAATTTGTTTCCATTTGCCGTCAATGTATACAAAACTATCGAAACATTAAATTTCTTTTCAAGTAACTCCTTGCTTTGTGTCCGCCTGAAACAGAATCATTTTAACCTGTCACATGTAACAGATAGCCTGTCAATTGACTACCTTCGTTTTAGAGTGGGAATTGGCTTCCCTATCATCGCCTTTCCCAAAATTTCTTTGTATTTCATGAAGTCAAACATTTCTAAACGATTAAACTGGTGTATCGTAATGAATTACATCACAGTAAATATGTTATGTTTAACTATCTTTTGAACAGGAATCTAATTGGAATAGTAGCGTAAAACAATTTAGGGCACCTTTGCTTGATAACGAAGGGCCCCGATCAAAAAGGGGGCCCCAAATTATTTTTATGTTCATATTTTTAAGTGTTCCTTCAAGTTCACCTAATTTTCTGAAGCTGAAGCTTCTATAACTCAGTTTTCCTTAAGTATAATTTTAACATCTTGCTCTTTTGTTCAACGTGGTTTTCAACGCTGGATGTGACTTTCTTGTACACTCTTTTTTATAAGAAACAAAGGTCGATGTTGAGTACTCCAGTTTCTTAATGTTCTGGAAATTTCAACGCTCGTTGTTTCTTAAGAGTTTCTTAATTATGATGTCATGAATGGTGTTATGAAATGTTCGTGACCTTTTTTATCACGTCAAGAGATTCGCTTCCGTTCTGATGCTGTATTTAGATGTGGGAAGTATATTTTTATCCCTTGCGTCTTTAGTTCTACGCCAACAAGGCAATCATGTTCTTGGGTTTTACAAAATTTCGTTTTTCTCAACTTTATCACGATTTAATAGTTTCCTAATTTTTTTGCTTCGAGTATTGAAGTTTTTTGTTTTTTCTCACTGTCCAGTACTCGTTTCTTATAGCCAGTTTCTTATGAAAAAGAGTGTATATTCTGTAAATAAGGGCCCCTTCCCACTTTTTCCATAAGGCCATAGATGCCTCCGTTACACCATCGAATTGGAATAAAGCAATTTTATAATTTAATAATAATAATTTTGCTTCAAACCACAGCACAATCCTTTCATTGGTGTCCAATTGGCTGGCCGTTCCCACACTAACCTGGCAACATGGAAGCGCTTTCGATTCTTATTCAAAATTTGCTAAATACGTTTTTGTCAATGGAAACAAAGTGTTATTGTTTTAGACAAATCCATAACCAAATCCTTTTTTACTCAATTCTCAGTGTGCTCTTGCGGAATGAAAATAACGATCTTTTCTTGTTCAAAACTATTTCCAACATGTGCAGATTCAAGAGAAATGTAAGGCCCGGCGGTATAGTGTAGCGGCTTCATAACGCCGGTTCGTTTATGTTTGGGCTGGACTTCTTCATGTGAAAGCTTTTCTGTTCTTCATTTGGTTGAAATAAAATTGTAACGGACAATTTTTAGTGGCTGCTGTTGCTACTGTTGCAAATTCAGGCTGAATTCACTTCATTTGTGGAATTGTTTTTAGCGTTTCTATTCACAATCAACAGTGCCTTCAACTCAAGAAAAGTATTCTTCATCTAAATCATCAAAAAAGAAAACTATGCTATGCTTGGTATCTATTAAATCTCCTTTTACTTTCAATGCTCTTCCTCTCTCTCGCCTTACCCAAGAATTTTCCCTGAAATCATCAAATATTCGCTCAAAACTTTCCTTTTAGTGTGAACGATTTCCAATTTTTTTCTAGTTTGTGATGATGCTATTCAGAGACAAACCCCTTATCTCACTTTTAATATGTAAGACACAATTAGTCCCCGATTCCTGATTCATTCTCATATCACACTTCTTGAATTATCACAGGTGATTTATTCACTTTTGGAACCTGTTTTAGTCTTTTCAATAGAAACACTGTCACTTTTTGACATTTTGTCTCTATGTCAACCTATATTTGCAACTTGATTTCGCAATATTATCGCTCTTTAATGTCTGCTGTCTCAAATTCTTGTTCTGCAGACCATTGCACAAGGGCTTTCTCATTATGCCTATTTTAACAGCCGAAAATAACGGCTCATAACGCCCTTGAGAACGCAAAATACCTGAGTTGACTGTACACGTAGAATTCTTATGCTCATTTGGTGTTTTGACGGGGTTCCAATTCTTTGTGAATGTGCATGTGTAAAAACTCCATTTCACCGCTATGTATTTATCCTTGTACCAGTCCAGTTCTAAACAATTATATTAATCATGGCGGTGTTACAAGCAAACACCTGTATTCATTGACATTATTGTTCAATTTTGAGTTAATTGCAAGACACGTAATTCATTAGACATTGCTAACTTCCCACATAATACGGAAATCATGACTTGACGGGTGATTCACACAAGGCTCGTGTTTCTGTTTATTGCTTTTCCCAATTGCATACATTCTTCGCTTTACTTGCCTTGCTAAATTTCTTGCAATGAAACTTTTTGTAAAGCTGCTCAGATTAAACAGGTCATTGGTAAATTTGACATTTGTCGATATTGTTTAGATTAGATGATTTCATTATTCGTTTGTGATTTTATTGAAAATGTTGCTTAATTCAGAATGCTGTTTCAATCATCGTTTGCTGGCTCTCATTCTCGGTTTTATGACTTTGTCGATAATCCCGCGACCAGGAAGCTTGTTTTTGTTTTAATATGAAACAATAAACTTAAAGAAATTTCAAAGGACATGCCTTGTTCTACACGTCAGAAGCAGTCAAAATCTGTATGCGGTATGGGAATGCAGTTTTGACGGCTGCCAAGTAGCTGTAACCAATACCATGAATTGCATTGCTTTATCTTACAATGTTTAGCTAAAACCTAAACATCTTAATGAATGCCTCTAGCTAAATGGCATTTGATATTCAAGCATTCTTGCCATTTGTAAATCATCTGCACAGACTTTTGCGGTCGACGGAAGTTTTTGCTGGTATTTTTATTTAGCAGGTGGCTTGTAATGTTTATGTGGCATTGACTGTGCCATTCATGTAGAGGGATGTAAAGCCCTAGGGATTGTGGGGGATGGGGGAGAATGGGATGCGGCTTGGCTCAGTTACCCTGTTGGAAATGAAAATTGTCGATCAGCCTATTCAGAACGGAGGTTTTTCCACCTTTGTCCGTCCAAAAAAGTCATGGGTGTTGATAAGACTAAATCTACTATAATTTTACTAAGGGTAATTCTAAAATAAAAATAAATAAATAAATGATTAATTAATAATTTATTTACAGTTAGCAACATAGTATTAATGTATTAGCTAGCAATGCATTTGGCTAATAAAAGTCAACTGTAGTATATGTATTTATAAAAAGCCTTTATTGTAAAAAGCCTAAATGTCCCATTAGGGTTTTACATACCTACAGTTGCAAAGATCTTAAGGTTGCTTAAGATCTTGAGATCTTAGGTTAAGGTAAGATTTTAAGGTCATATTTTAAGTTTCTATTAACAAAAACATTTTCCATTAACGTTGGATTAAAGTAATTGACAGTTTTATATATTTCGATCAAGTGCAGCTGTAAATATCTCTAATAGATAGGCACTGATTTTGGTTTAGTCTATAATTGATCGAAGTTGGAGATGCTATCTTTGCATATGATTCTGAGTGCATGTTCGTGAATTTTGTTAATTTTATTATCATATTTTCTTTCATAGAACATCCATCCATACAAGTGGGCAATAAGTAAAATATGACATTGTTACTGGAGTCATTGTTAGTGCTAATTGATGCACATTAGATTTTTTTGAAGATGTTATCAACATACGATTTGAAAACTTAACCTTTTGTCTAGAGTTCCTTCAAAAATTATCCCTTCGGTGTTCTCTTTGATCACAAACCAGCATATATTTACAAAGACTTCTTTTTCCTTCAACCTAAAAGATCGCATGTAAATGTTGAGTAGCAGGGGACCCAGCACTGAGCCTTGTGGAACGCCCAAGGAAGCCTTTTTCCAAGCTCTGCAAAATCTATTTACTTTCATTCTTTGTGCAAATCTGTCTTTTTAGGGCACTTGCTGAAGAGGCTGCTGCATAAGTTCACAATTCAGGCAGTCAAAAGCCTTGTAAAGATCCATTATTAGCGTATCCTTGTTTATCAAGGGATGATTTGCATTTCCCAAGAAGCCTGTGTCTTGAAGCCTTCCCAAAAGGCACATAAACATTTTGATAACCAGAGAAAGGCCAAATTTGCTCTTTCGTCATTGGAGGCAAACAGTTATTGGTCGACGGTTTCCCTTTTTCAATGAATTATGATTTATTTATCCAATTCAACTAGAATTACATTACATTTATATTTTTAACTAATTAACTGAAGATTTAACTGAATTGCTTGACCTATTCAATAAAGCATTGCATTCGATTTTTCGCAGGGGTGATCCTGACAAGCCAAACAAAGATGGAATGACCGCAGTGCATCTTGCAGCGAGCTCAGGCCAACTACCATGCCTCGTGTTCCTAACCAACTTTGGGGCGAACATCTACGCTGTTGACGATAATGGCAATAATCCTCTTCAAGAGGCCTCAAATCGAGGTCGCATTGAATGCATACGTCACTTGCAGAATCTAATAACTCACCAAATGACGCTGGATAGGGCGCGTATAGAGAAAATTCAAATAAAGGCGAAACGAGAGGCCGAACACCGGATACGGGAGAAATCGCGCGTTAGGAGGAAACTAGACAGGGAATGGGAGAAGAAAGTAGAGAAACAGCGGCGGTCTGCGATGGCTGCCGAAATCAAATTAAAAAGGAAAGGCCAACAGAATCAACATGATTTCATACAATACCGAAAAGACTCTGACTCTTTGTCAGCATCAGAAACTGATTCGTTGGATCGAAAAAAGCTGTTCTCAGAACTAATCGGCATACGTTCAGATACCGAAAGCACGTACTCAAGTCCGCGGAGCAAAATGACTTCTCCTGATGAACCGGATGAGTTGACCTATTCGATGACAAGTTTGAACACGGATCCTGGACATTACGGATTGCCAAGCAACGGCCATGCTACGGCAAATGGATATGTTTCCCAGATTTCGGAAGATATTGTGTTTGGGAAAAGAGAGCCCGGAGATCTTGATTCCACGTACCCTTTTATAAAAAAGAATGGCAATGCCAAAAGTAACGGAAAAGCCAACGGTACAACACCGCGAAGAAACGGAGGTTTACACAGCAACGGGAAAGATCGCTTTGCCGCCTCTTATAACTTACCACCGCGTCATTATATACGGCGCAGGCCAGGGAATAACAACCCTGCCAACTCAAACTTTTCTTCGCTCGCAACGTTCTTGAACTCTCTAGCACTTGATGAATTTAGAGAGCTCTTTGTCAAAGAGAAAATTGATCTTCGTGCGGTTACATTGTGCAATGAAAGAGATTTGAAAGAAATTGGCCTACCTTTAGGGCCTAGAAAGAAAATATTAGATGCAATTCAGCGAAGAAATGAATTAATGAGCGATCCTGCAGATGATCTTGAAGAGACTCTCGCTTAGCTGCGAAAGGAAATATAGAGAAGCATACTTGAGCAAATAAATGCATTTTTAGACCTTATTACAATGTATTTACTAGTGAAGTCGTAGGAAATCATAGGCTGGGGCCTGGCCTCGGTGAAAAATCTGGCGCGGAAGCGCATTGAGTTTGAAGGTCAGTGAAAACCAGGTTTTGACCAGACATTTGAAGAGCTTTGGAATGATACGTGTTCTATTTCCTGAAAGAAAATTTGGAATCGAACAGTTCTTCATAGTGTCATTGCTGTTAGGAGATTTGTTAGGTTGAAGTCAACATTCTGTCTTTAGTAAACGGATTTCTACAAGTGCGCTTAGGTTATTTGGTTCATGAAACCTGCAGGCAAGAATGAACCCAACGCGCCTTTCGGCATCGAAGAAGCATCTTCGAAATGACAGATAACTTTGTATTATAATATTTGAATTTATAACAGTGAATTGTATTGCGAAAAATAAACCCAAGGCACTGTAATCTTGTATTTGCACTTTTGACCAGGTTTCATAGTAGCAGTTTTGTACAGGTATCAGTATGACGTAATCAAGGCAATGTCCATCGACTCCTTCCTGATTGTAAAAAATTCTGCCAGGTTCTCAACAATGTCATTGTACAGTGGTTTTTACAATCGAAACCGTCAGATTGAAATCATTTTCTGTCTAGAAATGCGGGTTTTTATATATCACATAGATGAAATTCGGAGTAGCAAATTAAAACCTTCCCCGGCGTCTCCAGTCTCATTCAGCCGTTTACCAAAGCTCACCCGGAAAACTGACGAAAAAGGGTTGGTTTTTTCCTTTAACCCAGGACAGTGAAACTTAGAGAAGAAGAACTTTTGGGAATTCAGAAAGAGCACCACCCCAAATTTGATTCAGTACAGCATTTAGAAGAAAAGAAGCATTTTGCATGTAATACCATTTACAACTTATTAGAAATAAAGTTTCACACCAAAGTCAGACGGAAGGGGTCTTTTTAAGATCTATCGGATGTACTTGGGTACACCTCTTAGTGAGGGTAGACACGTCGGGGAACCTTCCTGCTCTATACATCAAAAACATGTACAGCTCTGCTTTTACAGCATCGACTACTTTGTGACAAACCCGTTAACAGTCATTTTCAGTGGAAATAGGGGTCGTAACTTTTATGTGGATTGAGTTATATTGCTCAAGAAGGTTCGTTTCATTTATTGCATGATTTTTGTGTAAAACAAACCACGTGTCATTAGGTTTTGGTTTTCTGCCAACTGACAAAACTAAAAACACGAATTTTGCGACAGCTGATAGTTCCTTGCTTATAAACTGTCCACGAAGATGTGTGTCTCCAATCAAATGGTCGATTGTCTTTAGATTGAAATTTTTTTATTACAAGCCACCAGCTACTGCCAGATTTCAACCGTTATTCAAAATAATATTTTCTAACTATCCTTACGCGTCTTGCTCTTTGAGAACGGATGTGCAATGCTAATCTATTCTATATTTCAAAGTGATTTAAACCGACACTTTTAATGATGGGGTAATACACCTGTTCTTTCAGCTTGGTACAACTTCAAGTTGGTGAAATTCTCAATGTATTGTAACAAGTCTCAGAAATTGTGGCAGGGGTAAGGGAATGCCATTAAGGGTGCACCCTTTAAGGGAACAAATTCATTCTCCTATATACATATCACCGTCACACCATTTTAAAGATAATTTTTCTTTTCATAGATATTAAAACATCAAATCCCAAGCCAATAGGTTATCCATTTTAAGAAGACTCGGTTGGGCCATGGTTCGAGAAGAGTGATAGGGGTTGCCCCGAACATGGTCCTGAAATTGTAATCATAATCTTATCAAAAGAATCATCAAAACTCAAATATATGGAAAAAGACTTCTTTTATTGCGAGGATTCATACTTACAAAAGCTTTAGAAACAAGGGAGGGGTTGCAATCCCTACCAATGCCTATCTTTGAAAAACAAGCAGGTTTTAAAGGCAGTCTGTCTCAAATGGTTTGCAAAGATTTGCCATGGCTGTGAAAAATTACACACGAATGACTTATAAATAAAAAGAGCAAACCAAAGTGAGAGATCCATTACAACAGTGGGGGTCACACAGCCTTTTTTCACAATTGATACTTAGCATATTGGAAAACCCTGTTAGCTTACAAGAAGTATCAAGTCAAACCTGAAGAAATAATTTCAATCTTAGAAGCATGCGAGGTGTATTCAAAAAGTTAATAAAATATATATTGTGTTTCTATATGATTATATCAAGTCACAAATAATGATCATCAAATCAAAGTATCGATCAGTCATTATAAAGTATCCAAATGATTCTCCGCAAAAGCTTTATAAAGCAGTTTATTGGCTCTTGGTCTTTTAATTTTGAATGATTCAAAAAGATTTATTTGAGACTCCTTTAATCAGCCAATATTCAATTTCAGCATTTAACAAGGCAAGCAGGCAAAACCAGCATGAAAGCTTCACAGGGGACAAAGTTTTTTCACAGAGAACCAAAAAAATGGTTTCCAGAAACAGACAAGCACCATACTTGAACCAGCTATGGCTGAATAAGGATCCTGAAGAAAGATAAAATGATCTGGATCACAATAAATATCAGCAATGATCAAACTTCTTGAAAAAAAAATTACTTTTTTGTCCTGAATGGTTGCTGTCTTAACACTTGGTGTTACATTTGATTTTAATTGGTGTTCTTTAACTTTTCCGACCTTGTTTTACTTTAGGTAAAAGTTTTGGTATAAAAAACTATCGGCTATGTTACCTCAAATCATTTTCTGTCCTAGAAAAACACATTTTTGCCTCGCTTGATATAAATTATAACAGTCTTGTATTAGGATGCATTACCTTAACAAAAACTGAGCTGAATAGTACTTTGTTGACAGAATGGGTAAGCTATATAAACAAATTAAAGATCTCCTTTAGAGAATAGAAAAGTAGTGATTTTTGTTAATAGTTGCCTGGCAAATTCAACTTAGAAGAAAAACACTCATTTATCTTCAGTCAAACACCACATTAAAAACAGTAGGTATGGATTGGGACAATGTACACTGGAAATTGTGATGAGAAAAAGCAAGATCTGTTGGATCTCATCTATGATAGTAGTCGCCAAATGCATGGTGTTGAAAAAAATGTATTTCCTTTAAGAGAATAACTATAATACTAACTTGAAATAAAATTTAAAAATTTCTAATCTGGAACTGGGAACATGGATTCCACTGAAAAAGTAGTTGTCTTGTTGAGTAAGAGTACAGAAAAATTTTACTTAATGTTCTTTTCTCTACCTTTACCAAACATGGCTCACAGACTCTGAAAACTTTTTACCACCTGATTATTTACACTAATGAATGCTTTTTTGTAAATACCATAGGCTTAGACTTAATTTTACGAAACTGTGCATTGTTATAAAATTGGACCTGGGAATCTGTAAATTTTATGCAACTATATGCAAACACATCAATTTACATAACTTGTTTCGAAATTCCAATTTATAAGCTGATTGCATATCAAACTTTAAGGCATTACAGAAAGAAGGACATAATTACCAGTCACAACTCAGTCACAAGAGCCATCCGCCCAGCCATCTCTCCATCTTTCAAAGACTTTTGAACAATCAAATTCTTTTTTGCCTAGTCTTCTGTTTACTTCATTGTGATAATCACAAAACCAGAGAGACAATGCTTTATTACTTGAAGTATCTGGGGTATCTGTTTTCAGCCTAAAAAATTTCAATAATTTATTAGATTTAATATCTGCAAATATTATTTTACTTGCTAACTTGAGGCTTTCTGACAACAATTTTTGATAATAAGTGATGGTGAATTGATAACACCAGGAAAGGTTTATAGCAATTAGTGAAGGAAGAAAACAACTTCAATTTACTTGTGAAAATGCTATCATGGTTGATTCAAGCATACTATGATGACCTTTCAAAAATATTCTTTTCAAAATTAGGATAATCATGACCAGTAAAAAGTAAATGACTATTCAGTAGATAGTGACAATCTCACCTTTCTCTTAAATGATATGAACACCATTCACATGGGTAGAACTTGGAGAAAATCTTTATAAAATCAGTCATCTCCCTTTGTTGCTTACTTGTTGGTGTTTCTGGGTAATAGGCAGCCATAGTGTGCAAAAATCCCCATGTATTACGGCCTAATTCACCTTTATCCAAAGGACAATCTGGTCCACTAGCTAATGGTTTTTGCTTAGGAGGTTCTTTATGTGTATCTTTGACAGGTGTATCCAACTAAAATGAAAAGAAATTAGGTGCATTCAACAACATGAAATTTTCAATATTAGATGAATTTCAACATGAAGGTTTTAAATCTTATGTTCTTCTTGAAGAAGAAGATAAGGAGATGCAAAATCATTGGGTTAATTCAAAACTAATTACATAACCAATTAGTTGGCCTAGATAAAGTTACATAACATGCCCGATTACAAGGTAATATTGAGAAGTAGTCATAGTAACAGTTAAAGCTCTTGCATTATTAGATAGATCAAGCAAGAAAGATTGATGGGGTGGAAGTTCAAGTGCTTAGTTGAGCTTTGCTTTGTAAATAGTTTCATACCAGGGTGGAATCCATTTGAAGCCAGACATACTCCTGATATCTCCGGCATAAGCTACATGGATTCCACACTTGGTTTCATATAACGTGGAATTGGATTAATATAAATTCTCCTTGATTGTGTTAAATTGCAACTTACAATAACAACAGGTAGAGGCATGCAGAAGATAGATAATCAGTATTGAGGTGTGTTGAGTACAATAAAAACTTGGCACAAACAGTTTTGTGTTTCATTTTGTGTTTTACTAGTAATTCGAAAGAATCCACTTCCATCTAAACAATACTGCGCAACAGCTGTATACTATGTACACTAGATAATTTCTACACCATAAAAAAGAATTTATGTAGTTCATCAACACATGTATAATGTAGCAGCTTATATATTGGCCACTTAAAATGACATTGATTTGGTGTAGTTAAAAGAAAAGTTGAGAATGAACCAATAGAGCTTACGGAACTCGCCATTGCAGGGGCTGTTTTTCCTACCACACTTCCTGTCATTTGCTTGGTCCAGCTTTTAAAGTCTGTGCATGCTCTACATGGCTTACCATCCGGGCCTAAAACAATTGGAGGCTCGGTGCCACCAGGGCTCCCCTTTATCTGGCTACCAGATGCAGTGGATTCCTTTACAAAATTATCTGAATTTTGAGTGTTTTGGTTCATTTAGGTTAAACTGGAATAAGTCCCTCAACCATTTGCTCAGAATTTCATCAGCCTGAGTGTTCCACTTAATGAACTCGATTTGAAGGAGAGGCTAGGTTTATCACAGGGCGTCCATATATGTACTTGTCCAGCGTACAAAATGGCGTCAAGAATCAGATTATTGGGTGGAAAGTTGAAATCATTCTGGGAGGAACAGCCAGTTCTTTTCATTTCAATTCTTATGGGAATATCAGGTGGGTTTCTTAAGAGTAAGCTGGTTCTCTGAAAAAGTTAGATCCTCTCTCCGTGGATTAGGTACAAAAGTGGCAGAGGCACCAACACAGTAAAGAAGTATGGCATCAGCTCAGCTGCATGCCCTAAATAATTTTTGGGACTTTTAACTGCACCTTGATAAAGTGGGTGTGTCTTGAACATAACTGGTGTGATCAGAAATAAAATTCAGGATTTTTTATCATCCTAAAACTGTAAAAAAATGGACCTAAAAAGACAGCTAATTTAGCAAAAAGATTTTAGCAAAAAGGAATTTCAGGTTGACGTTCCTAGAGAGGTTTTTTAAGCTGTAATCATCCAATTTTGCCTTACAATAATTGGCCAACATTGCTCTTTAACTTGGTTTTATCAATTACTTTGGTTATTATGAATTAAGAAACACATACTCTGAGACCGAATTGTTCATTTCCATCAACAAAGACTCGTCACTTCTCTAACATTCTTGGTGGCGATGAATTGGGGGTGTATAGTCCACAAGTTTACAATGGCAAAACCAGAGGTAGAAATCATTTTTTGAGGCGAGTGCCAAGACATGTTGGAGCAACTTCTTCTGGGCAACTTAAGAAATTGAATCACTCTTTGTTGTTTTAAACTACACTGTAAAACCCCCCATGAATGACTTGGCACCCACTTATAGACACAGGAAGTATTTCAAAAGTAGGGGGTGGCAGATGCAAGATCTGATAAAAGACATAAAACTTAAGAATTTTCATTTAGACCAACAAGGAATTGCAAAGAATTACAATCAGAGATATAGTAAAACTAATTAAAATCAGTAGATAAAGTAAAGTAAAACTAATGAAAGAAAGAACAACAAACAAGTAATTAAATTGATTTTTTATAAATAAACCAAGTTGTTGGGAAAGGATCTAATAGAGCTAATATTTAGATCTCAATCCAAGCCTTGCTCTAAGTAAAGTGAAGGTGCTCCATGAAACTAGCTCCTAACAATGTTGAGGCACTCTGTCTCACACTGCTAAATAATATTTCCTTGAGAGCATCTTTGGGAAGGGTACAAAATATTACAGAAAATGGTAGCAAAAGTAGTAAAATGACATTGAAAAAGTCATAATTAAAAAACAACTGTAAAAGTGTTACTTTCTGCAAAATTCAAAGAATAGGAAAAATGTATGGTCCAGTTCAATAGCTAGCTATTAGTAGTCAGCGATAGTTAGAAAATTGAGGCTGGTGTGTTCAAAGTTTTATAAGTGTGAGTTTTGCTGATTTGAACTGGACTGAACTGAACTGGATTATGCCCAAGATGCGAATGTCTGTGTGAACAAGATCAGTTCAGTTTTTCATTTTTTAAATTCCACTACATACAATTTATCAATAACAAGACAAGCATACATCTCAAATACAAGAAATTAATACAATATACCAATACAAAACATAGACACAAGATAGATTGTATGGAAGGAATTACTTACAGGAGGAGCTCTCTCAGTAGTTAGACTAATTGAGGAGAGAACACCCCCTATTATAAAAGTATCTCATATAAAATTGATTTCTTTAATTGACATTATGATGTTGACAAAACTACTTGATGGGCAGATGGTGACATTTTTGATATCCACTTTTCCAAAATTTAGTAATTAGTTTCAAATAGGAAAGCTTTGATTTTTTGACGAAAACTACTAACAGATGAAAACTCTACATGTAAACAAAAGCCTATGTACACCTTCCTAACTGTATATTCCAGTTTGCAAATATGAAAAGTAAAGGAGTGATGACAAAAAATTTTTGCCTGGAAAACATGCAAAATGCATGGAAAATAGAGGGCCTGCAGAAGTTTTGATATGAAACTGGCTATTGTGCATGTTCCCCTTCCTTATTGTAATGAGCCTTTTCCCTCATTCCCTGTCCATTTCTTTTTGACATTTGTTGAATAGATGTTAAAATAACCAATGGAGTCAAAAGTAATTTTGAAGTAATTCTAAAAATTTCAAAGATTTTCCCCAAGTTTTTGCCAAATAATATCCCACAAGAAAAAAACAAGAGTGCTTAAAATTTCCAAAATCTGTCACTCTGTCACAAAGGCAACACAGCTCCTCACCAGTCTGTCACTGACATTCTTCATAGTCAATAGATATACTCAAGAACCACATGTCTCCTGTAGAGCAAATGCTGACAAATACTTTGTCACATGATCTTTATGAAATTACATTATCTAACAAGAAGTTGTGTATGTGTTAGTGTCATGTTGTCACAACATTACGTACCACTTTTCATAAACTTTGTTCGAAAATATATTTTGAAATGGAAAACTGCTAAAAAACTTGCCCTGCTGTGAGTAAAACAATTTTGCGGATGAAAGAATGGGGTAGGATGAAAAACAGTTGAATCTTAATTGAATGTTTTTGTTGCTACCATGTTATTGCACAAAGTTATATGTGTGTGAAAAATCTGTATCTGCTGCAAATGACCTTGTCTAGTGCGTACCCAGAAAATGTATCATATTAGTAGGTTCTTCTTTAAAGTGTACCAGTGTATGGCAATCAGAAATTGGGATTCTCCTAAAATTGTCATTACAATGCAATTTTTTTTACTTTCATGTACTTTAAGCAATAAATGTTTATTCTTTGTTTTAGGACCACCTATGGTGTACTTTAGTCCATTAACCTATAAACAAGTAGAAGAAACATCCAAAATACCTACAACCTATCCTTGTGAGTCAACGTTGATAATTATCAATGATTTTTCCATTTTACTTAAATCAGATTTCTTTGTCAGATTGCTTTTTTATTTATTTTTTGCAGCTTAGAGTAACAGGCACAGTCTGAAAATAACTGCAAGCTTTTTGAGTGAGAGAGAGAGCGCAAATTATGAGATAATTTGCTACTTTTATGTTTTAGATATATTTCATAGCACCAAAGGCCAGGTTTATGTCATCTTGTAGGTTAAAGGTGCTCAGGAAATTAAGTTTGGATGTCATCTCCATTTTTACCTGAAACAATAAGTACCTATTTGTGTCCATTATATGATGCTAGAAAACTATTCATCCTTTTGCTGTACTATTTTAGTACTTCCTACAAGAAAACAAGCCAAAGTTTGGGCTTTTAGAAGCTCACTTGCTTCGACTATATCAATGCTGTATTTTCTAGGTTCAACCATGGTATCGGTTGTTTGCTTTCCAACAAAATTATGATCGAATTGTAGAGATTTGAAGTTTGTGAAGAGATGGCAACAATTATCTTTACTTTTTATCTTTACTATTTATTTCCAGGGGATCTTGTGAAAGATTGGAAAAGAAAAGAAAAGGCAGAAACAGTCTGATACAGATGCCACTAAGAATGTCAAATTACTACTTCTTCAGCAGAGAGACTTTTGAACTAACTATGTCTGATTGAAGGTGTAGGTGAAACCAACCTTGTTTCATTTAAATGTTTTGTGTTTGCAAAGAAATATGAGTCAGTTTGTGAATGGCATATGCCTTAATTATGTATTGCATGGACAATTTTTTGTTCAAGTTTCTTTTTCTGCCGCCAGGGGGGGGGGGATTTTTGTGTATTGTTAGCACACTCAGTTGATTTGATTTAAGCTTGCTTTGTTAAAGTTTAATTGTGCAGCTAGTTTTCTTAAAGCAGCCTAAAGAAGAAAACAAAAAAGGTGGGACAAAGCACATAAGCCGACATTTGATAAAGTTTCTTACTGTTCTTAAATTGTTGATTTAATCAAGACATCTGTTTTCTGAAGTCGTTACTAATCAATGCAAACACAAAATCGAAGTCAACAGCATGTCATAAAAATTTTTCTCAGGGCCCCCAGTTGGCCCATGGGTAAATGCATTACTGATGGAGCAGGGGACAATTGTGATATTAGGTGTGCTGTTTAACATGCTTTTTCTGTATACGGAAAAACTCTAATCTTCTATGTTCAATTTTCTGTCATTTTAGTACTATACCCTTCCAACAGTGATTTTCTGTTGTTTTATTCTCTTAGGTAAATATTGAAACAATTTACAGTAGAGGGTAGGGACAGGGCTAGCAATTATTGCCCATTCTGATTACCCATCCCCACATTTAAATAGATTTTCTCCATGTCTGCTTTTTCTGCTTTTTCTGGGGCCCCTCAACCTCTTGTCAGCAGCATAGCAATTATGAATTACTAAGGGGTGTTGAGAAAGAGGTGTGGCTGGGCATTTGAGACTATTTTTTGAATCTCCTGAAAGCATGCTTAGCATTTTGAAAATCAGCATCAAATGAAATGAGTGTTTTTAAAAGATAAGTCTGTGTAATCTGCATCAAGACCCCATAGCATTCGCAGTTAACAGGGAGTAGCGAGAGCAGTGGAGGAGCATGAAGATTCCCCTGTGATGATGTCCTCCATTGTGTAAACACACATTTGTTTGGTAAGAGGGAAGTTTGTGGCTATATTGCGCTGGAAAGGTACCAGAAATGATTTGAGTTTAATTTGATGAAAGTAATTCTGCAAGTTAATGAGGCCTTGTAAGTATGTAAGAGACACTTTTAAGCTCAAAACAGAAACAGCATTGTTCATTCTAATGAATTGGCAACAAGTTTAGCAGCGACAACATCAACAAACAATTAGAACAGAAATGGTGGAACCGGATTTCGATGTTGATAGCATCATTGAACAGCTCTTGCAATCAAGAGAAAGTGGTAAACAGGTATTGTAATTTTTTTTGCACGAAACATAGTTTTGCAGTACGAATAACGAAGCCGAGTACATACATAGTAATCTAGCAGATTGTCGATGCCCTCCAGCTGCTCCGTTGTAAAGAAAATCTATAATCCACCAATGCTTTCGAAATTTTCAATCGTTTTTTATTTTGTTTTGTTTCTTCTGTAAGAGAACTTCTGCGAATGCTACTAAGTGTTGCATTGAGGCTGGAACAGCTCGAAATCGCATGAAAGCTGTCGGGTTTAAAACGCCCACAATACTCAAACATCCGAAATTTTTCACAACACAGTTTTCTGTCTCTGTAGCTGAGATAAAATGCTGTGTTCGAATAAATAAAAGAGGAAAATACTTCCTGATAAGCGACAGTACAAGGTCATCAGGTCCTATGCCGATCAAACTGTAGTTTCGTTGGCAAAATTGAGAGGGAAGTTGAAATAGTTGTTTAACCAAGTTCGATAACATAGATCATGAGTTTTTCTGAGCTTTCAGAACAAATAATTCATATACTAGCTCTTTTTTAATTGATCTGATATAAGCTAATATGAGTGACATTTAACTTTATATTTTACAACACAAAATTTTAATTTTCATTATTTTTTCAGTTTAATGAGTGATATATTCAGATTTATTTATGTTGTTTGCGTGAGACAGACACTGAAAGTTGTTTTTTCCTTCAGATGCTCTGAAAATATGTTATGATGTTGTTTTTCTTAAACATCCTTAACAAATATCTTAAAATTGATTTAAGATTATAGTCTGAAAAGGGGTGCTCTCTGCTCCTTGATAAGCTTTGCTTCAGAGAGAATTCACTTCCTGGGAATTCACTTCCATGCAAATCTTCAGGTGTCGTGCATTTTTATTTTTTTTATGCTTATTTTATTTAAAATTGGTATGCTGTTTTTATGTTGTTGTTAGTTGTTTTAAATATATTGGAGTATTTGTATGTAGTTGAATTGAAAATCAATGACCTGAACTTAATTGAAACTGTTTAATTCCAGACACAAAAATTTTTGACAGCACTCAGCTTGGTATCCAGTGATATCTTCTCCCATAGAAATTAAAGATGGAAAGTTTTGTGGAATCTACCTAGAAACTTCAGCATCTAAAACCCTGTCCAGAAAGTGACTTTTTAGAATGTTTGACTCATCTTTTGATCAAATTGGTTATAAGTTACATTTATGTCTTGTGAATTTTACAATCAGTTTAATGTAATTGGAAGGAAGAGTTAACATCAGTTAGCCTTTTCTCAAATATTGCATTTTTCTTTGCAAGATTGACTTGAAAACCTCTAATTGAGAACCTGCCAACCTTGTAATGTTATCTTTTTTTTGTCAAGAAGCCAAGACATGATTGACACCTATGCATAGCAATTGAAATCTAATCTATGTAAATAGCAGAGAAAGGCTGAGAGGTGGTTATTCAGATTCATGAAATTTTCATTTCTTTAATTTCCTCTTGAAATTTTCTTCAATGGATGCACAAGGAATTTTCCAATCATCTCTGCTTTTCAGATTACAGAATCAGACAATCACAAGGTCAAGTGTACCAGGGGATTTTGATTCTAGTGTAAAATTGTAGCTCCCAGAAAATTTTTTGTTGGCATTATCTTTTGTTCTTTGGAAACACCAGTTACAGACATGTTCCAAATCTCAGTAAATTATTATATGCTTCCGAATCTTCTTTCATGCTCTTAAATTAAGATTATTGTCACAAAATTACTTGACATAAAAGTTGCAATAAAGCTAACCCTCATCTCACGTAGGCAAGAAATGATTGCACCGATATTAATCTGTGGGGGTTTGCTGTTGTCATGGAATATTCTCTTCTGTATGTAGGCCTTGTTAGAGATAAGGATTTGGAAAAACCTAAATATTGAAGAGGCTTGAACATTGAGGGGGCTTAACTGTGCCGTACCATCCACCCCAATTAAGAATGAGGCTTGGCTGCCTTTGTAATATTTGGCTCATGCTTAATGAAATAGAGGTAAAGAGTTTCTCTAGAGCATAACCTCTTTGGAAATATTAAGGACCTTGTGCCCTACTTTTTCTTGAAATTCCCAGTTTTTGCAACATTTTTATGAGTGTCAAACCCTTGCTAAACTGTAGTTTCCCATTTCCATTATATTTTAGTTTCTAATAGGAAACAGTTCATTTTAGGTGAATAATATAGTTAGGTGCAAATAATATTTTGAAAAAAGTAGAAGGTTCCCCATCTGCCAAAATGTCCACCACAGTGGAAACAAAACTCTGCCACTCCATCCCCAATCCCCAGTGTGCCTGCATGCGTTCTGCAGCCTCATTCTGGTTAAGGCGGTCGTTGTTTACTTTTCATGCGGAAAATATGGCGGGTCATTTGAAGCATACGAAGTGAATGTTCTACCGGATAGCGAGAAGTGAGAAATTGTGAGTCAATTATCGTGGCAAATGTTTATAAGAATTTCTAGAAGTTTATCAAAGCTGCGAGAAAATTTCTGTGTGCAAGTATGGATTTTTATAAGCTCAACGAGCTTGCTGTAAAGAAGGAAGAAGAACTCCGAGAAGTTAAAAGTTTACAGTTAGCAACTTTAAACAAAGATTTAGAGGAAACTAAGAAGTTTTTGAAGCTTGAAAGAGCTAGATTTCAAACACTGAAACAGGATTTCGAATACAATTTGAAAATTATCGAGCAGAGAGATCAGGAGCTTTTGACTTACGAAAAGTCTTTTGATGATTTCAAAAAGCTCGATGTTACAAGAAGTTCTGAAATTAGTGATCTGAAGATCAAAACTGAAGAGCTAAACAACAAAGTAGAAGCTTTGGAAAGAGAAAAAGATGAGTTGGAATTATATTACAGAAAAAGGATTAATGACATGCATACCCAAGTGAACAAATGTTTTTCTGAAAAGATGTTAGAAATACAAAAAGAAAAAGATGAGTACCTAAAGTTTAAGAAAAATTCGGAGAGAAGAATCAAGGAATCGCAAGCTGAGATGGATGGACAAAAAAGGCAAATGATGTTTGAGTTTGAGGAGCAGATGAGAAAGAAGGACAATGAGTTGAAAGAAAAGTTGGATGAAATGAATAATATCATCTATTGTAAAGATCTTGATATAAAATTACTTAAAAAAGAGCAAGAACTACTTAGAGAAGGCTCTACTAAGTCAACAGAAGAAAAATCAGAGCTCTCCCAAGAAATTGATATCCTAAAAAAACAACTAAAAAAGAAAGATTGGGATGTCAAAGATATTGAAAATATGGCTGAAATAAAGTCTACTGAATTGAAAAAATGTGTTGATGATTTGAAGAATGAGAAGGAGAATATGAATGATGAATTCAAGATGATATATGCAAATTTAATAAGGCTTTGAAATCTAAAGAGCAGCAAATTAATTCCTTACAGGAGGCAACTGAGGAGAAAGAAAGACTCTTGCAAGTTGAAATAGAAGATTTAAAAGGCCAAATACTTAAATCTGAAAATAACTTGAAGCAAAAAAATTGGAATTTCAATGACAGGATAAAAGAGAAAGACTTGAAAATTGAAAACATGAAAGAAATGATTTCTGAATATGAAAGGAAAGCAAAACTAGAACAAGCAAAGTTAGCACAGGCTGTAGTTTCCAGAGATTTGGAGATTGAAACTCTACAATCAGCTAAAGATAATCTTGAAGAGCATCTAAAAGTGCTCCATGTGGATTTTAAGAAATTGAGGAAAGAAAGTGAATTGGTAAAAGAGAGAGAAATTTATTAATCCAAACAAAGGAACAGCTTGAACTAGAGTGGCAAAAGAGATATGATGATGCTAGTTTACTTGCTGAGGAAAGATATAAAAATGTGATTTCCAGTTTAAAGGAAAGACTTGCAAACTTGTCAAAGGAAATGGGACAGAATAAAATAGAAATGGAACAAAGGGATAATTTGATTAGAATGCTGAAAAAAGACAAAGATGTTGCTTGCAATATTCTGCAAAATAATGGCATTAAGTTTGATGGCTCCTTGAGGGGTTTTCATGAGCTTGTTCCTAAAAATGAATTTGATAGTTGCCTCAAACAGAAAGAGCAACTAAAAAGTGTTATAAGTATGATGAGAAAAGAGATAGAGGCAATAGAAGAAAGACATAAAAAAGAATTAAGCCAGTCATCTTTTCAATATGCAAAGGATTTGGAGGAAGAAGTTAGATACTTAAAAATAGATAAAAGAAATCTACAAAACAGTGTTGATGATTTGAATGTCCAGCTAGTTCAAGCAAGAAGGCAAAGAAGAGTTTCTTTTCATGAGGATAATTCTAAGGAAGTTTGACTGCCAAAGGGTCAACCACAGCCTTGCATGCCAAGCTACAATCTGCTGCTAAGAAAATTGAAGAACTTGTTATTGAAAGGGACCAGCTCTTGAATTTGGGTAATAAACTTAGATCTGAGTTATCAGCTTTAAAGATTCAAGATTCGGTTAAAAAACAAAAGGGTAGTGATACCAGCCAGGTGCAAGCCATATTCAGCAAAAAGGATGAGGATGGCTTAGATGAATTTGAAAATTTGCATTACAAAATGATGCTGGAAAAGATGAGAGATCAACCAAAAGAAGAAGTTAAGGACATTGAAGTAGACATTGGCTCATCAAGTGAGAGCTTAACCCCTGATGGAAGTTATAGTAGAAATGTTAGAATTGATGAAGATGTTCCAGTAAGGGATAATACTTTGCGTAGTATGGAAGACAAAAGAACTATGATACAATCACAGTCATTTGAACCCATAAACTTAATCCAACAAGACAAGAAGTCTAAGTTTGTTGTTAATGTGACATCATCTTCTGAGATGTCTTCGATTCAAGATCTTTGGAAAATTCTTGAGGAAGCAGAGAGTATTGCAAGCCAGACTCCAAGAAGTGTTTCCTTGCAAGGACCAATCATGCCTCGGAAAAAAGTACCAGGACACAGTCTTGAGGGTGCATCACAAAGTATAGAGGGAGTTGCAGAAATTGAAGGACAAAAATTAATGCTTAATGTTAAGGAACCTCCAAAGGATTTGCAACTTAGTAATAAGGCACAAGGCAAAGTGCATCAGCTTAAAAAGAAGGCAAAAATTAGGAATTATAATGTTAAAGATGATTGATTGGTGTTAAGTTATTCCTTAGAGATATCACCTATCATTATATTTGATACGGTATTCATCAAGTTTTAAAAGTATAATTTAATAACCATTGTCATATTGAATGCAAATGTAGATCAATTTGGAGTTGTTTTCAATTTTGCATTGTTTTTTGTGCTAGTGAAAAAGTTCTGAATAAACCATTTAGTGGATAATATACTTTTTTCAATGCTTTAGTTGGTAATCAATTTTGATTTCTTTTTTATAATGTTTATATTTGCCCCTACAAAGTTAGGCTAGATTAATGCCACTTGGCACACATTTTGGCCACATTTTGATAATTATTTCAGCATCCTTCATACACATCTAAAGACCCATGGTTCAGATTTGGTCCCTTCTGTTCGGTTTTCAAGAGCCTGAAATGTTCATAAGTAATTTAATAATGAAATCTTTTCCTGGCAGAGCTTTCTATTCTCTAGAATACAGCTAGGTTAAAAACAAAGGTAGCTTATGTTTACCTCAGTTTTGTTGAGAAATTTCTATATATAGGGCAGGAGATTAGCTGTTTGTGCGGTCGTTTTCCTTTTAGGATAATCTCATTAAGAAAACAGAACAAAGTTTGGCAATGCCGGGGGGAGGGCTACAGTCCCCAGCTCCCCTGCTTTCGAGGGCCCTGAAGGGTACACATTAATGTATCAGTAATCCCCAACAGACAGAGAGTGGTGGTATTTTGCACCCCCTCTCTCTATTAAGTACTGATAAATATATTAAACAATTACGGACGTGCTAGTTTTCAATGGTGGCAAGGGCAAATATGCGTCTTACACGGTATGTGTTAAAGCGTTGATCTCAATAACTGTCCAGACTTTTGTAGACAAAGTGCTACTCGAGGCAATCAAAAATATTGTTCACTAGATAGAAAATTATTTTTTAAAAGGAAAAATATTTTTGAAAAGAGAAACATATTTCCTCCTGTGTCGGAGCCCCAACCTCCTACATGTGCTCCGACACAGGTTGGAAAGTGGGGGGGGGGGGCAAGGGGAAATTTAATACCAATAGAAAATATTTTGAAAAAAGGCCCAATGTTTTGCAAAATGTTAGGTGACCTTGTTCTTATTGGCAATACACTGTCCATCTCATCTTAAGCGCAACAGCACGTGAATCCCTGTGATCTCCACCAAGCACACGCTCTTGCTCATTTGCAATATTGTAGACGTTTGTTTGTTCTGTTGTAGGTTCAGATACCAGAAACAAAGATCAGGCAGCTATGTCAACATTCACGTGAGATTTTCATGAAAGACAAAACACTTATTGAGGTCCAAACACCGGTTAACATATGCGGCGATATCCATGGGCAGTTTGATGACTTGCTGCGTCACTTTGAAGAGGTCGGCTATCCCGGAGAATATAGCTTTCTTTTCATGGGGGACTACGTTGACAGGTACGTGTCCCATCCCATTGTTCAACTTCAGTATTTCGTATTCACAGCTACTGTACTGGTGGACCAGCTAAAAGTGTTATTATCTGTTCAACGATTAAACATAACCAAACAATATTAAAGTTAATATATTTTTTACAGTAATAATCTCGTGGTTTTTTGCAATACATGCAGTAGTTTGCATAAATTACCATCTCTCTATTCTATAGCATCCTAGTTTTACTCGATTAGTGCTCAAGATGGTTAGCTTTAAGAATTCCTATGATATAGAATGCCATGTTGGTGTATTCCACGTCATAAGGGCGTGTCCATGTATTTTTTCCTGCACTCAATCTTGGTCCTAAAGTCACTTACTGGCCTTTCATTTTTTGTATATTGTTTCCTTTCTTATATCTCGAAAATTTCTTTGATCATCTCTGAAAATTTCTCATGATCACCTCATATTTTAATTAATTTAGTCAGTGATCATTGACGTGTTCAACAGCTTCTTACGAAAAAAAGCTGTTTTATAAGGCAGATTTTCTGTAGATATTTTCTGTGATAAGATAATTTCTGTAGGCTCCTAAACTGTTATAATAGCGAAGTCAGTCAACATTGATCTGTTAGTTTATTCTCAGTTTCATGAAGTGATAAACTGCTTGATGTCAAAACAGCTAGAGAGTTTTGATTGGCGAGATTGATAAAAGTCTATGCAAAGAAATACTGAATTACACCTGCAATCTTGCTTCATTTCTAAGGTTTTAATCTTTTAGATTTTGCGGTGTTTTTACATAAAGAGACTAGAATCTGCGTACTTGTCATTTTTGCATCTTCTTCTATGCCTTTTTGTATTGTTCAGCGAGAGGGTGCTTTCATTTATGCGAACATGCATGTTCATGCTGACTTTGTTTTCAATACAGACAGTTCAACATCATGTTCTCACATAAATTACTACCAACATGTAAAACGTGAAGACTAATTTTGTGGGTACTCTCGATAAAACAACATTAAGTCTTTCGTCTTGAGCACCTTTTCATTTTCTATTATTCCAACGTGCGTTAGGTAATCATTTCAAATGAAGCTATGTGGAATTAAAAATTCTGTTTTTTTGTATGATGGACTATGAATTTCCTCTGAAGGTCAATACATTATGGTTAATATTTTTAGTATCTTAAGGCGATTCATGTACCAACAGAAATGATTATCCCATTTCAATAAAGTCGTTAATTAGTCAATCATTATTTTTACATCTGTTTTTGCCTAATGCCCTATTTGTTTTACCGTAAACGCACGCAATGATCAATGCCAAATGTTAGGCAGAGGAAAACAGTCACCAAGCTGCGGTTATAATACGGCAGCCGTTTGTTCAACAATGTCTAGGATCTTGAAAATGAAATATGAATTATTAAAGAAGATTGGCTTGTTAAGATGATTCATGCTTTGGTCAGGGTTTATTTGAAGAAGTTTTAATCACTGCCCAAAAGAGAATAGGATATTTTGGGATAGAGTCAAAAATACCTGCAGTGATTCTGAGAGGTACCGGAGTCGATGCCCGGCTCCTCCACCAGTTGTAATTATGTTATGAGTAGTGGGAGAGCAACAGCGAGAGATATCATGCAACTCGTATTGAGATTATGAACTGACTAAGAATCATAAGATAATTACAACAATACATACTAAACACAAGCAACATAAATTAACATAGTAATGTAAACTCAGTGATGCTCAACGTAGTGCTCAATGGAGAAAAATGAATACTTATCAACGAAAGCAAACAATGTTGAAAAATGTAGCATTAATGTAAACACGCAAATTCAACAAGAAGAAAACAAAGTGAAATTGTTGGGCGTAACAATAGACAACCAATTAAAATTTGATGACCAAACAAAAATATGTGTAAAGAAGCAGAAAAAAATGCACTTGCAAGAATAGCGCCTCATTTAAACGCAGATAAAAGAAAACTTTTGATAAAAAACATTTGTTTTGACATTCTTCAGTTACTGTTCCTTGGTATGGATGTATTGTAGTAGGAAAAACAATGAACTCATCAATAATATTCATGAAAGAGAATTGCGAATTCCCCTTATTGATAACAATTTGACGATTTTTCATCTAGTTTTGAACAACTACCGTTCAAAGACAACAAAGTTACAATCCGTACAAGGAATTTCCGGCAATTTGCGACAGAAATTTAGAAAACCATTCGTCATGAAAACCCAAGTTTCATGGCAGATACTTTTAGCCTAACTGAATAACCTTATAACATCAGGGGGCTCACTTTCACTAGAAATGAACCAAACACTATAGCATACGGATTAGACACTGTTTCCTTAACATCAAGTAGTATGGAACTAAATTCCCACAGAAATCACCTTAAGCTCCAATATAAACACCTTTAAAGCAAGTATAAAAAAAATGTCAGCGATTTCTTGTTTGTGTCGCATTCATAAACCATTTGTAGGACAAATTGGCTTTATAAAAAGACAGGGTACCTACTGTACGTTGATGTGATTTATCAGTAATTCATTTATTACTGTTACTCTTGTTAAATTCGATTTTTTGTTAATATATTTCGTTGGTTTTAATTAACTTTAATATAGCTAGTGGTGTACGTTTACCAACTTAATTAAAGTAAAGAGAAAAATGTAGACTAGCGTCCAGTCTTATTACATTACTGCAGGGTGGGGGGGAAGCGGGTGGGGCGTATAGCAGAGGGATAGCTCTCCATGGATGGGTCTTTGTGTAGGTTTGGCTCATATCGCAATTGCCACCATATCAAGGAACTTTTATTGCACAGGTTTTGATCTTATCTTTACATAAATTTGGTATCATCAAACGTTGAGGTAATCCCGGCATTTTTTCCAGTGTCGAATCAATGATGTAGTCAATAATCTACAATTTCCTCTCTAGGGGTAAAAGATCTTTGGAGACCATTTGTCTTCTTCTCGCATACAAAGTGAAATATCCAAACAGGCTGTTTTTGCTTAGGGGGAATCATGAATGTGCAAGTATCAACAGGTACGTACGAATGGCATTGAACTGAATCGGCGCAGGGAATCTTAGTAGCGAGTGAATAAAGAAGAAACTCACGCGTTGTTAGCTAGCTGATGATTTTTATGTGTTGATCACAGAGTTGTTTCTGTTAAGGGAAACGTAGACCTTTTGCATTGAGTAAGATTATTCTAGAGTTAGCTCCTCCCCATGTTTTCTTAAAATGGCCTTGCTTTGAGTATAATCGCTTTAAAGAAGACTAATTTATAGATTATAGATTTTATCTGCTACAAACGTATAATTCCCTCTAAGAGAAAAATATGCTGAAAGAATTGTCTTTTTTTTCTTCAAGAATTCAATGACTCCACTGTCCTAAAACTTTCTGTGGCAGAATTGCAATCTTTGGCGTAAGACTGCAGCAATTAATCATATTTTCTCACTAGATTTTATAGCTTTCCCGCAAAGGCATTTATTTTCCGTAGGGTTCGTTATACTATCGTATTTATCGTAGGTATAGAATGCACTTTTGGCTTGTAATAGCGAGAGGCTGGTAATAAATGGGCTCAGAATCGCTTGATTCCTCTGTAGCGCTTGCATCTTCTTTAATACTTATTTATGTATCTTTCTTTGGGATAACAAGACTTGGCATATGGTTCAGTTTGAGTAATCTTATTTTAAACTTTCATTTCATTTTCTCTTTGAAACTTTTTAAAAACATGCAATAATCAAAGCACATTATTTTTCTGTTGCTTAGAATTTACGGATTCTACGATGAATGTAAAAGGCGGTACAACATCAAACTCTGGAAAATCTTTACAGATTGTTTTAACTGCCTACCAATAGGTAATTTTGTACAAAATACGTATCATAGATTAATTTTTGTAGACTCCTCTTCGTCGTAATATCATTTCATACAATTATTGATTTTTTACAAAGACGCTTTTGATTAAATTGTTAGTAAAAACAATCTTTCAAAATTGTTAATAATAAAGACTTGAAAATTATTGGCCACTTTTTTATCAGCTAAATATATTTTACCTATCTATATCAATCTCCCCTTCAACTTTTCTTTGATCTGCGTAGCTAATTATTCAGTGTTTCTAAGAGTCAAACTTCAGCAGGAAGCTTATTCTAAACGAATTAATAAAATAATATGAATTAAAGTAAATAAATGATAATCAAACGATACATAGCTTTATATAACTATAAATATGCAATCTAAAGATGGAACTTTAAAGATAATGATTTCATTTCATACAATTATTGATTTTTTAAAAATCGCTTTTGATTAAATTATCAATAAAGATAATCTTCACTTTTGCTCTAGTGGCCACTTTTTTACAACTATTGATTAAATAATAACGATAATATGATACATATGAAACAAAAAACATTTGATAACGTCGAGCACTTCTGATTACACTCTATCTATTATGAAGCTTCAGATAATGAGCAAATGCTAAACGGAAATTTGGATTTTTTTATGCATTTCCTGCTGTTTTGAAATTTTTAAGCAAGAAAAATTCATAACTTTAAGATATTGTGTTTTTTGCAGCTGCAATTGTTGACTCAACGATTTTCTGCGTTCATGGAGGACTTTCACCCGATTTGGATGATCTCGAACAGGTTTTTCTTTATGTTCTTACTGCAAGCAATGGTTTTGAATAAGAGAACTTTCAGCATATTTGAATAAGATAATTGTCACATTTTTTCAAAGTTGTTCACCTCCCTTTCCTACCTGATTCAACATGAAGAAGCATTTTCGATGTTTGGTTGATCAAGAAGCTTGAAAACCAATTTAATCTTACGAAACAGCTATA